TTTTTCACCAAAATAATATTCTAATAAGAGCCCCCTATTCCTAATTTTGAGAGCGCCCTGGGCGCTTATTACGTCGAATACGGTAAGCCTCATCTTCTACACCATTCACACAATAAACAGTATCTGTGATCTGTGATCTGCCGGAATATTCTCATAGCGTCCAGTCTGTATTCTTATGGGGGCTACACCACATCTAAATTTCGCAAACACACTCCTCTGTAACTTTTGACCACTTTCTAAAAGGCATTGTGTTTCTATGAACCCTATTATTTCACATGTTGAACCAAGTGTGAAATTTGGTAGACTGGACCAGAAGGAAGGACAATTCTTGTTGCTGGATGTCCGATTCCTCTGGAGAGAAAATGGAGAATACTGTCAACTATCAGTGCCAACATACGGAGATAACTGTTGCTTCTGTGGCCATTCCAGGTGAAAATACCAAGCCATAATTATCCCAAGAAAGCGAAAATGAGGATTTAGTGCTTGCACTTTGTGACCTGGGTGATTGTGTGTCATGGTAACCCTGATGGCATCGATCATTGCTTCCAACCAGGTTTGCTTGGTCCATTCTCAAAACATCAACTCACAAACATTCTATTCTGTATACACTCTAAAACAAAAGTCACTCATCATATACTTTCATTGTTAACTGAACACTAGGAAGAATAATTGTGATGGCATATGGTATTTGGATATCAATGGTATCAAGACAATCCTTGTTGACATTTTAGTGTGTGTTTGAGTGAAGTTTTCATTTGCTTTCAAAAGATTTTGTAAACTCTAATATGGAATCAAAATAATTACCTGTATAGAGAATTCAAATACTGCAAGGCTGAATTTTTTATTTAAGTTTTTATTTTCGTAAATTAAAAATCTAAAGAAATATCTGAGGTCCCATCTTCAGCCTAAACACCAGTACAATCGGTGAAACAAGTTTGGATTTACTTCTGAAGAATCCCGATATCATGGGAAAGCAGCAGAACATGGCAGACAAGTGTGGGGAAAATCACCACAATGTTGAGGTACACCTGTACTTGGAACAGGGTGCCAAGAGAGAGAACTTCATCACACAATCCACACCATCAGGGCAAGATCAGGTGCATGTTGATCTACCTCAAAGGGTGTTTGGACACTACAAGATGCCCATGAATGTCAATACACCTGGGCCCACTTGACCAAAGGGATGTTAACACCACGATTATTGTAAGTCTATGTGAAAGTATGGTTAGCTACTATTGTCATAGCCGAAGATGCTTTGTTCAAGTTGACTCATTTTGTTTTGGCTTCTCAGTAGCACAGATGGGTAGAGAACAAACTTAGTTCAAAATGTTGAAACTAACAGTTTTCTATCCCCCTGCGGAGGGATATAGTCATCATCCTTTCTGTCTGTCTCTTCGTATTTCGTTTCCAGAGCATAACTTGAAAGATTTTTCATCCAAACTTGCTACATGTATTAACCAAAGTTAACTGAAGGGGTCTCTTTTGCTATTGAGTGTGTGTGTTTGTTATCTTCTGATGACTGTTGTTGATAAGTTACAAAACAATTAAAAGGTACCCCTTTTTTTAAATATCTAATATGCACCGGAAAATATAGTAGGTCTTTGTATTGTTGGTTATAAAGATTACGAACAGATTGGTCTAGAAGTTGGTCAGGGGAGCTTATTGGAGCTGGAGGCTTAATTCAGGGGTACTCTGTTGTAAACGGGTATGTTATTATGAGGACTGGGCACAGTGCAGCGAGATTAATTGAAAACAGATAACAGGTTAAAGGTCTGACAAGACATTAAGGGGATCATCAATCTCATTAAAATCAGATGACCTAATCAGTTGCGAGAACGAAGATCTGATTTCAACGAGTTTGAAGGGATCATGAGTCTGAGGACATGATGTTCAAGACAAGATACACCACTAGGGAATATGGATGGTCCAGTCATGGGAGTTTGTACAACACACCTTACATTGCCTGGGAATATGGATGGCTCAGTTTTGGACGGTGCTGCAATTCGGTGTGCAGAGTTGTGCCCTATATGGGATTGAATCCCCTATGGCCAACTGATATGGCCTGTCAAAATGTTCCTAAATAGTTTGGCATTCCTGCGACCATGCTTTCGTACAATATGTTGCAATTCTCTGTGCAGAGTTGCGCCCCGTTGGCGTGACATAAACATATGATCGGTGTTCGAATACCAGCTACAGCAAGGTTGTGTCTACGTTTGTCAGCACCACAGCCATGCTTGTGGGTTTCACCACAATTCTTGAGGTTGAGACCTTCATCACTTAATAATTTCCTCCCAGGATTACATCACAGGCTGCGTTATAACTGAAATACTCTGGGGTAAAACCAAACACACCAATACATTTTCTCAAAGTTTTTGTTTTTAATCTGATTTTGTTCCGTACAAGTCGCAAGAAGTCGCATACGTAAGTAAATAAACTTCCCGAACAGATTGAGAATATACGGGAAATACCAAACGTTTCCCACCTATTCATAAAATGGACTTGTCCGACATTGCCGACATCCGATTCTAAAGAGGGAGTCATCATTATTAAACCTAAGGTAACTATTGTTAAAGCTTGCACATCTTATCAACATCCTAAAAGAGGCTGTACATAATGTTGATATCTCATACAACTCCCACTCGTTTATTTCTGAAATAAATATCTACAATCTTCATATCAACTACTACTGGGATCAAGGCATCTGAAACAGTGTTTTCTTAAATAATAGCTTCGGTCAACACATAAACCCTTCATGTTCCTCTTGAAATAAAATATTGCCCCAATGCATTTACGTTATATGTTGTTGAGATCTACATTTAAGTTAATAGTTTATACAGCGACATTTATTGCTTAATGCATGAAATTACGAAATTACTTTCGACTTAGGGTACGAAATTTCTTATTTCTAGCGGTTCAAATTCGTTTGGGTTACGAATTTACATACGCCATAAGGAAAAGCTGCAATGGACGGGTCGTACATGTATATAATTTCCACAAGAAATTTGTGTCATTGGACGTGCATTTACATCCTTGATTACCCAACGTATTATATTATAATGGAATGGATATATGATAGCCTTCGCTAGATAATCGAAGATGCTGTATTTCATGTCGGCTGCAGTTGAATTTTTAACCAAACCAATTAGTAGCCAGGGAAAATTCGTAGCCACTCGCAAATCGTAGCCAAAATCCGCGATGATCTCGTAGACAAAATAAATACAACAGAGAAATAGAACTGAGGAATGATTTATTACATTGCAAGTTGTCCTGGAATGCACACATTAATATATATTACGTCAGTGATTTGTCAATATGACAGTGACAACAGTCAATACAGTGGAAACTGAAACCTGTTTCTAAGATAGTGGCACAACTACTTATAGGTAAATACGAATGGTCTCCACATAGTGTTTCTACTTGCCTTTCGCGGCAGTCCATCGGTCCAACGTCTGGAGTAACTGTCCTTTATCAAAGGAAAGCTACTCTAAACTGACGAAAAAACTTCACAAACTGAAATTTTGACACGTTGGGTCCAAACCCCGAATAGTGTTACAAAATGGTTGAGAATCAATCGCCCAAACACAACCAAAACAATTTGCTGAGTAATGAGCATGCTCAGTACCCAGATCAATGGAACTTGAATTTGAAGTGAAACTTTGGCTGCTCTTATTGCATGCCAACCTGCAAAGATATGGATATAAAAGGAACGATTTACTGTTCATTCCCACCCAAACCGTTGGACAGTAGTAAGATTAACCCTACAACAGAAAGAACAAGTCGTTGGTATGATACACCAAGGAGCAACGCATGATGACGTTGTTGGGAGTTTTGGTTGTAGACGAGTGATGGTCACCAGGCGCATGGCCTAATTCAGGCAGACTGGGCGGAAGAGAGACAGGCCTAGGAGTGTCAGTCCTGCCATCATCAGCCAGGAGACTTTACATGCGTATCCTCCACCTGAGGAATATTGATACTGTGACGTCATCAGCTGAGACAGTCTTCCTGTCAGTCGCTGGACAATTTCAAGCAGACTCTTTCGGTGCAATATCAGAGCTTGCAGACTACTATGAGGCGTAACGCTGACACTGCAACGCTGGTAGAACAGAAACTGGTAAAGACTAAAGAGTGATGTTCACAGGAGAGCAGATTCAAGCTTTTCCATGCAAGCAGATGTAAGAATTTGTGTCAACCTCCGACAAAGAGAATATTGTTGCATTCAAGATGTTAAACCGTTTGGAGGTGTCAGCATCTGTAGCCCTGTCAATGCGGCACTATTAGCCCTATCAAGGCGGCGCCTGTAGCCAAGTCATGCCGCATCATTAGTCCTGCAATGCAGTATCGATAGCCAAGTCAAACAGATCTGGTGATTTGGGAAGGAAACTTCATTGGACAGCATTACATTGACCAATCTTTTCCCCTTTTGTACCACCGTTCTTCCAACAGCACAGGGCAGATCCTGTTTCAACAAGATACCCATACAACATCTTGCCTTTGCTAGCACAATCACTAGACTTAATTATCACCTACAGAACTCTTTCACATTGGCCGTCAAATTAGAGTACGACCAGGTCGCCCTTATAACAAAGATCAGTTAGCACAGGCCCTCTGAGAAGAATGGTGTTGAATTCCATTTCCGTCAGACGAATCACATCTTCTAAATATCAGAGTCGAGTTTGGGCGTGCATTGATTCCCGTGGTTGGCATTCTCTACACGGTCGACACAGTACCTTCCATCTTGTTCTCATTCATGACATAACTTGTAATGATCATATATAATTCATGTCTTTTGACAATACCAGCTAGAGACCATATACCGATTTATGGCATATGGTCTCTGACGATACAAGTGTGTTTATGCTGTATTCTTTCCAAGTAAGGGTAAAGGATGCTCAGTTGGCATTTCACATCACAGACAACAAGTGTTTCAGTGAAAGCACATATCGCGAAATACGCTTTATTGATGAGGATGACTGTTGAGTCATTTATGAAGAACAAATAAATGCGCCTTGGAGCAACCTTGATTACCAAAGGGAGATAATAAAGGAAATCTTCAACAGAAAGAGGAACATAAAGTACCCTTTTCCGGTTTGGCAATATTGCTTGACATTTCTGACGTTTTGCATTTTTACTAAACAACAAAGAAAGTGTGACTTAATTCAATGGCAGACAATGCTGATCAATCTGAAACCGAACTAACTAGATCGAAATCAGTGGATGAGAAAGTCGCGGAACTAGAATTGAAGACCCGAGCTGTACACGATGCAGAACCGCTGACGAAAATCCTTGTGCTGTACACAGGGGGAACGATTGGAATGGTTACAAAAAATGGAGGTTGTGCTATTTTTTTATACAATTTATATGAAATCAAATACCATTTAAGTGTCGAAGTAGTGTTTAATCATAACCAAGATGTTTTCCTGGAGTTTGACAGCCATTCAGTTTTTGAAACTCAACTCCGACGGACGGACTCTTAGGCCAGTTACTCTTGTTTCTCATTTCCCCTTCATGGTCCAGTGGAGTTGTACATCCTTAAGCTTTTGTCACGGAGTACGTTGATCAACTCCATGCTCAAGGTCATGTCCATTTAAAGGCGTAATTAAAAAGTATGAGCCAAACAGCAGTTATATCTTAGGCATGAACACTTAATGTATCAAGTGTCCATGCTGTAGGTCTATGAAACTTGGAACAGGTCACCCTGGTAAGATTTGAGTGACCCAAGTATAAGTTTAGTTTACCTGTGAAGGCAAATATTTTGACATTTTGTGATGGTCCTATGGCATTTATACCCATAATGTCAAGCATTGTAGGACTTACCAACATCTGAATACCATGTATAATATCTTATTAATGTGAAGTTTAAATCATATATGGCTTTACTATTGGATGAGAGGTGGTCATTTGACAGTGAAAGTAATGTTCATAAGTGTATGAACGACACATTTTGACGTTCATATTTTTTTCACGAGAGTATTCTTGAAATGATGTAAGCACTGATGTACTACTTCAACATTGCTAGGGAAAGCCCTGGGACTTCCCTAGGACGAATAAATACAGGAGCATTGTTTCTGATAATTTAAACCTTTAAATATCAAACTCATCATTTTAGCTTATATTGGGAAAAGTCAGGGAGTTTGACTGCATGCCCATGCATGATTATCCTCGCTACGACCTTCCTAGTGAACAAAAATAAGAAATGAAACCCAAAGTATGCCTAGACTTACAGTGACAGCCTACAGCAATCTATGAGTTTACTTCATTATCTATTTGACACATCTTTATGCTCATCTCTTAATGATCGTCCCACTAAGTAACACTTGTAATCGCAACAGGTTAATTAACAACTTTGGAAATCTCTCCAGTCACATTGATTGTGTCAGCCATTTTGTTGTTTTGTACTTGATGTAAGTGTATTATGATACACTGTGACTGTGGCTGGCTTACCAAGGTTATTCTTAACAGACCTTTCTCATGTAATGATGATATTCTTTGAATCTATTTGTTGTAACCAAACTGCAAAAGATGTTGCTCTCATGTCACCTCCCCTTTTGAGGAACTATTTTATTTCCTGATACATCTGGTTGTTGTATGGCTGTCAGTGTAAACATGGAGTCATACATTCCAAATAAAATAGTGTATCTATCACTCGAGGTATAAAAGAATAAGAATAATGAAGTATAAGAATTGACATTCACTTTGTGTGAGTTCATTGGAGTATGACACTTTAAAGACTGAAAGTCAAACTGTATTATCATTGATGAAAGTCAATTTTTAAAATGTCTGTTTGATACATATTATAATTGATGATGAGTAAAATTCAGTAATGACAACCTGGGTATAAAAGCATCAGGTCACTCTGACCTACTTTCAATGAGTTCCATGCCATATTTTCATTGTTTAATTGAATCCATACAAAATATATCATATGTTTCAGCATTAGAAACTGGCACTAGTCCTATGGTCCTTGCCAAACTGCCCAGTAGTTAAGGTGTCCTAAGGACCAGTAGACATTTTCCAGTTTTACTATATGGTTTAAGGACTGGTGGGCCAAAACTGTTAGTTTCTATTGGTGTTTTTATCAAGTGAATTGCTTTTATGGTATTTTGTATGCGCTTTGTGGACAGACATTACCAATTTCGGGGCTCAAATTAACTCTCAAGAGCATTCACTCAGAACAAGCTTGTTTTACAATTACGGTATTTGACGTAATAAGCACCCAGGGCGCTCTCAAACTTAAAAATAGCAGGCTCTTATTAGAATATTATTTTGGTGAAAAAAAAACAGAGTTGAAAGATGAATTTCGTGGTTTATGCTGACAGCCTGAAATGTTTATATACGACACAGATATATTTTTCCAGAATTTAATTGCCCATAATTAAGGGTGCATATAACACACGAGTGTGTATTATACATGAATAAATAGGTCTTCTGTACATTGATCAATCGGAAGGGGTGCTAATTGGGATTGTTCACCAGCCAATATATTAGCAAATATTGCCGTGGGCGCTTATTAGAGCGGGGCGCTTATTATGTCGAATACGGTACTCAAAGAATGCTGACAGTAGGTGCATGCAGATCATGATTATGGTGGGTCATTGAACTGGTAAGTGTTAGAGTGACCTAAAGTTAAGATCAAGGTTACAGTGTAGGTAAATCTGTGAAATTATCATGCTTGTTTGTGTTTCTCTGGGTCTATATTTAACTCTGTTGCCATGGAACATGTAGCTGATATCAATGTTAAGTGACTCTGATGTATACTACTGAAAAGAAGTTAAAGAACCCCCAATTTCTACAGTTAATCTGTCATGGCTGGTGGGTATTGCAGCACACTTCCTTCCAATGTAGGAGGGGCGCCCGGGTAGCCTAGTGGTTAAAGTGTTCGCTCGTTACGCTGAAGACCCGGGTTCGATTCCCGACATGGGTACAATGTGTGAAGCCCATTTCTGGTGACCCCCTGCCGTGATATTGCTGGAATATTGCTAAAAGTGGCGTAAAACCATACTCACTCACTCACTCCAATGTAGGTTTTCTTTCACTTGTTGTGAGTAGTATATTTTATTGATGGCAGCTGAATATCAACTTGTTGCACCAAGTTTAGGTCATTGTGATCTACTTTCTATTATGAACACGATGCTTTGTAGAATTGGCTGTAAGGGATTTCAATGTTTATTGATAACTATATGATGTCTCTTTGGCTTTCAACTGAAACATGTGACAGGTCAAAGTCACATTACATCTTGTTAGCTCAAATAATTCCTGAAGGAGCACGACTGACCCAGTCGTCTAACATGCCTAGGGTTCCTCAATTTGCTGTGCATAATTGTGTCCCCTGGCAAACCAGACCTATGATTATGGGTTTGAATCCCAGTTTGCCAGGATTATGTTTCTTGGTTTATTAGCACCATGCTCAGGGTGAGGGCTTTATTTATGAGAAGGCCATGATACATTTTACTTTCATCATGCAGATATTTATCTTCCCGAGGCAAGAGCCTATCAAAGTCTTGTTTCCACCCTTGCCACATCAAGCCCACTTTCCTGTGCTAAATATAATTGGACCACAAATATCAATAGTCCAATCAGAGAACGTTTCACAAAATCAACATCCACGACTGGTACACCTTCGTATGAAAGTGATTTCCCGCTGCCTGTCTTTGTTGACACATCTTTTTCATCTTTTTAACCCCCCAACGATTTCCTATGTTTTTGTGTCAGGGATGAAAACGCGAATGTTTTCGTTATCTGATTGACTAGGTCGTCGCCTATGGTAGTGTCGCCATCTTTGTGAAGTTCTACAAAATAAGAACAGCGATCTGATTGGATATCGCATTTTCATCACAATGGGCACAACTCATGATCTTCGCGAGGTGGCGCCAGGGTCGAGCCAAGAAAAGTGGCCTTGATGTGGCAAGGGTAGAAACTAGGCTAGTGGACACGCTTGCCTCGGGAGGATGAGGGATATTAAGTGTATGAGTTCGTTAGAATGTACATACTCTACTTTATATAGGCCACTAACTATGACCCACTTTTCTTTCTGTGCATCAGTCACAGTTGTTTTGTTATAGAAAAAGCCTGAAAGTATTTTTTTAGCATGTGATACAAACACTGTTCTCCTTTACTTTGTAACTTACAGTTCCTCAAAGGTTATAGAAATTAACATGATCAATACTTAAAATGTTATGATTTTAAGAAAGTGACCTTAATTTTCCCTTGTAATTCTGTTTGACTTTCCTTCAGTTCTATAAGATTGTATTGTGCCAACACCTACTGTTCATTAATCTAACATACTGTTAATGTCTGCTCTTGATCTGAAATTCTTCATTAACTCCTGTGCTGCAGTGTATGAGCCGGAGCCTGACTGTATGGTACAGAAACTCAGAGCCCTTCCCATCTTCCATGATGCTGAATATGGAGACGCTCATTTTTGCCCTGAAACTAAGGCGAATCATCTAGCTTTACCGTAAGTATGTCCATTACATTATGTTATACAACATAAGTAGGAATAAGGTAATGTCTGTGTCAGAAACATAATGGAATAGGAAGACTACAAGTGTGTCAGACAGGAGGACAGGATCGGATATTGAATTGTTACTTTTTATATTTATCTACCGATCCATTATATCGAACATTCACTCATAATTGTCAAAATGTTTAATTGAGGTTCCAGAAGTCCTTTTTCTTCCTACTGAGTAACTTGGACTTACCATTCAAAGAAACACCATCTTCCCCAGGCAAGGGCGTTACCTGACTAAGTCCACTTTCCACCCTTGCCGAACTAGGCTGGAATTCCAGAGTTACATTTTGGCTTGACTAACGAGTCTATGCATCGTCCAATCAAAAATCGTGTAATGCAACATGGATTAAACGTGCAGGTTTCAATCGACTGCAGGATTTGCAAAGCATGTGTACTGTCATATGGGCATTGACAGATGTTTTGCAAATCTTTTCATGTTTTTAATCAAGGTGCTCAAGTGATCTGATGCACGTGGTGGGGTAAGACCCGTTTTATTACAATATAGATCTTTTATTGTCAGTTATTGCCCTTGCCTAGGGAAGATGAAGATACACTCATGTGTTTGTAGTACTATATTCACAAAAACAGATTAATTGGTTTAAATTTCCAAGTTGCAAGTAATTAAAAAGTCCTTCTTTCTATGTTTGCACTAACCACCACTGTATAAATGGTGTCAGATTTGATGTGTTTCATGTAGGATTCTATTAAATGTGTATGTAATCAGTACATGGTATGTAACACAGGCTGCTCAAATCGAAGCTGAAAACAGATGGCCAACCTTCTCCAAATGGGTAACACTAGCGATCACTTTGCTTGCCTGCTGACTCACTTTACTCATTTTACTGACTGTCGTGTTGTTGTATCTACTGTATGTTGGTGTACTGATGTCACGGACGACAGAGACAACTCCATCGTTAAAATCTCTCACCATGGACTCTCATGTAGAAGGGTGTAGAAAAACTAATTGATTAACTTGTACTACATGTACTACCATGACTACTGGTATATGGATAGCGGAGTCTTAGATAATGTAGATGGCCTCATGTAGCCATGATAGTATTAACAAGAATTCTGAATCATACACATCTTTGATTTAGACCTGACCATTTTCTTTTCTTGTTTTAGCATGTTTTCTACATTTTATGTTTTCAAAGAAACAAATATCAATAACAATACTGTGTTTGATTGTTTTGGTGTCAAAACCTGAATTCAATTTCTATTCATCCCCTTTGCATATTGACCATAAAATTTGTTAAACAAGAAAATGAGGTGGTCCGACGATTGTGATGAATAATTGTCTGAATAATGAAAACTATCAGACAGGCAAAAATCAGAGGGTCTGAGAAGCATTTTTTGCATCTTTTTTGTATCCAGAAGCATGATTAACCATTATTATTTTTCTATTTGTTGGATCACATTTTTTTTCCGATTTAGAAGTCTAAGGAGGGAATAAAAATGTATAAAAAAGAAGCTGATATTGACTTCTTTTTATCAAGACTTGATCACGGAATGTTTTTTGCAAATATTACGGGAAGTACGACAATTGAGGATAATCTCGGCAACATCTGTGTATCAAGGACAAGGGACATAACTCTAGATTTATTATGTAAGTAATTTTCCTACCACTAGTCGCGTGAATGATTTGGCCAAATATCAATGTCAAATTGAGCATCATAAGTAATCTCCAAATGATACAAAAATAAGTTTCACTTGCATTACTATATTTTACAATTGTTAAGAAAATACGTTAAACGGAGCCGTGATCCAACAAATAAAAACTAATGGCCTTATCTGGAACTGCTTTGTATTGATGTGTCCATTTTTATGTCCTGAACCAAATGTTTCAATGTTGTGGATTAAGATGTAATGTGGTCATGAACATGATGAATATTGTCATATCCGATGTCCAGGTCCTATCTAGTGTTAACACAGTCAGGCCTTCTTTGTGCTGACATTATTGTTCCCAGTAAAGTGGCCCAGATGAATCTGTACACAGAAAGTTACTCATGTCAAGGCAGATGAGGGTAGCTTGATTCTCTTTTTAAGGATGTCCTCTGGTCTGAGTTTGTGATTACTGCACAATCCTAAGTGCCATGAATCAGGAGTTCTTTGCGACATATAGTATTTATACCACTCAAAAGAAGTTAAAGAACACACAATTTTTTCATATGACTATAGTTACTGTATCATGGCCAACAATTTCACGCAAGCAGTTGACGTTTATCAGAGGCCGACACCTTTTATATTTAATGCTGGCACAGTGGCAACCTTACCAAATCCCAAATTCTACAGTCATACAAGGGTATATTTGCAGGAAACTGTCTTCATTAGGTGAATGCAGTAATCGTTACATGCTGTAAGTTAATGTGATAGGGATAATAAATGTCATCTAGAGAAATATCACTTATCCGGCTTCTAATAAAGGACTGGCTTCTATTTTTTGGGCGGAGCATATAACCCAGCGTCAACTCGAGGGTGGTGTGTACTGGAGACCCGGTGTCTTTTAGAGGAAATACAGTAATCTGAATACAGATCAGTGGACATCCTTCAGGCATAACTTGGTTCAGTAGGAGGGCACGCATAACAATCTGAGATTTTCTCTCTTTATCTTTTTGAAACTGATGAACGTCGGTAATAGGGAATGAACTACGCATTTCACCATAGTTTTTGTACAGAATTGGAATTCTGGATTTTGGTAAGAATTTTGCATAATATATTGTAAATTCTTTAGAAAGTCGATTGGGTCCATCATCTATCATCGTTGTTTGATTGTTTGTTGTTTAACGCCGCACTCAGCAATATTCCAGCTATATGACGGTGGTCTGTAAATAATCTCGTCTGGACCAGACAGTCCAGTGATTGACATCATGAGCATCGATCTACGCAATTGGAATACGATGACATGCATCAACCAAGTAAACATGCCTGACCAAACAATCTCATTAGTCGCCTCTTACGACAAGCATAGTCACCTTTTACGGCAAGCATGGGTTGCTGAAGACCTATTCTACCCCGGATCTATCCTCCTTGATTGTCCAGTGTATTATATCTTTCTATAACAGTAATTACCCTGGGCCCAATCATCGCCATAGGTTCATACGGAAAATGCGGATATAGTACAATGGATAAGGGGAGGGTCTTTTTTAAATCTTGATTTGTGGAATAACTACAGACATGACGACAGTTACTTCCGCCATTGATCATACACTACTCACTTTCAATTTCCTAGCAGCAACTTGAATCCAGGAAACTGAACGTGATTCTGAGGGTCAGGTTGCTGTGTGCTATGGATGCTGTATGGCCCAGAAAGATGACACCTAGAGCATATATACATGCTACATTGTAATAGTTGTCACTGATTCACTCCGTACAACCTTTCTATATATCCAGTATACGTGTGGAAATTGACAGCGTGTCAGAAAGTGTTTTTATTGCATTTGACACAAGTACATTCATTGTAAATATTTCCATTTTTGGACGACTCATTTGAAACCATGGAAACCATTTGTATAACCTTTAGAATCTGTAGTATCAGTGAAGCACTTTTTTCATAAATGTAAGTATCTGTACCATTGCTGAACGGAAATGTCACATTTAAATATTGTAAAAGTTAACTTGAATGCCAAATCAGACCTGTTTTGAAGCAAGTTGAGATCCAGGTCATATAAAAAGAGAGTGAAGTTACCTTGGTTATTTGCAGGCTGTTAAGTATAAATATATTTGTCAATATGGTTGCCGAAATGCCATGCATGGACATAGTTTGAATGAAAACGTCATCACTTGCTGTCTTCTTACATTGGTGTCTGGCTATGCGGTGATATTACTGTACTATTGCTAAAACTTATGTAAAACTATGATCACTCACTTTTTCCTGTCTGGAAGATGACTGATGGACCCAAATTATACAAGTTGATATTATTAAATGTGGCTTCAAGTTCCTGTGATCTTTGTGTTTGTCCACCCTCTCCCCACAAGACAGTTGCAGTACTATGTCGTAAATATATGGGGCATTTTTAAAACGTTGCTGACCATGGTTATGTTTTGTTGCGATGGACTTGTATTTCTAACTTTCTGAATATTTCCGTGCCCCCTGCCCCTTCCACCCCCTCTCCCCTCCACCGCCTCTCTCCCCCCCCTCTCTCCCCCACCCCCACACACACACAATTTCTTTAGGATTGGTGTCTTTCAGATTCTTGTACGAGTATTGCCTTCCATTTAAAGGTTCTTTGTTTTCTTCTATCGTGTTAATTGACATCAGTAAAGTTTTGAACAATACAAGATATTTTGCAGAAATCATAAGCAGTATTGACTGCATAATATTCAGATATTTTCTTTTTCTGGTTGTCTGTGGTATAGTTACATTTGCAAGCTAAGGCCCAAGTCTTTGAAAGGCATTCAGAAGTGATACACATAAGGAAGAGAAATTTATGGATGTCTACTTCTTTATTATGCAGAACACAACGTTTTTGAGTATTAACCTAATCTTTCATCAGGTGAAGAGAAATTTATGGATGTCAACTTCTTTATTATGAAGAACATACTGTTTCGTAGTACATACTTACTCCTTGTAACAATAAAAATTCTTCCACTTACAACACGGACAATTGTCACGGGAGGCTATTCATGTTCGGCTTCGAGATCAACAAAGATCGATTATGTCTCTCTTTACTAGTTGGTGATGATAACAAATAAAATAACTCACTACTCGGCTTATTTGTTTACATTTTTTCAAAAATTAGAGTCGGCAGGTCCGTAATGTGAAAAATATAATACGCCTGGCCCAATGAATGTCCTGTGAGAGGAGGCCCACTTGCTGGTATCTTAACCTGTGCAGTAAAGGAGTTACAATTACCAATTAAAAATATATACTGAATAAACATCCTGTTTATCTGTTATCTTTATTATCTACACAATGAGCCTGTTGACCAACAAAGTAACACAGATTAGGACTACCGTAAACACACTGACTTTAGACTCAAGTTATCTGTGACCTTGACCCAAGGGGTTTGTCAAATGATGCTTTCAATTATATTGTTCCATGATAACATTTGATATAGAATTCTGTAGGTTGGATGGGAGGTGAATGTAACTGAAATAAGGGGAAGTGTGATGGCACAGAAAAACTTTCACATCCTATCACCAACCATGTCATCGTAATGACAGGACACGTGCACACCTGGTCAGCATGGTGAACAGAGCTTTCAGTGGAGAATGTTATGTTTAGATGGAGACTCTTCACGAATGGCTAATGGAATGATGTACTTGTTGTCAATGTACAGTGTCCAAGTTGGTGTGAAAGGAGGAATTATTCATGTAATATTTTTAATCGTGCTTCATTTTATATGCATGGGCATTTTATATTTTTACTCCACAAATACATATACCGTATTCGCCGTAATAGGCGCCCCGCTCTTATAAGCGCCCACTGGCGATATCTGCCAATTTTCTGGCTAGTGAACAATCCCGATTAGCACCCTTCCGATTGATCAATGTACACAAGACTTATTTATTCGTGTATAATATGCACCCGTGTCTTATATGCACCCTTAAATTCTGGAAAAATATATCTGTCGTGTACAGACTTTTCTTTTGTATCATTTCAGGCAGTCAGCATAAACCACAAAATTTACGATCTTTCACCTCTTCACCCAAATTATATTCTAATAATTAGCCCCCTATTTCTAATTTTGAGAGTACCCTGGGTGTTTATTACGTCGAATGCGGTATCTGCATTTAGGGTTTTGTTTATGTAGGATTCCAAACCAAGTACCCTTGGCAGCCAGTTAGGGAAAAACATGTTGTTAAAGCTGTTTATGTTCCAAAATTCAGAAGTATGTTAACATTGTATTCTCAAACAGCATTACCATATTCGCCATATTAAGCGCCTTGCTCCATGCAATCAGTGTCCCTTGACCACTGCTAACTGCTAGACCTATTGTAAGTAATTTTAATAAGCAGCCCCTTCTAAGATTGAAAATTTACATGTGTTTATCAGAGATATTTTATAGAAGTGGTATATAATTGCCTAGTAGTAGTAACTATCGAAAAAATATGTATAATCTAATAAATGTTAGCTTCATTTGAACTATGTTTGTTCAACACTTCTTGTTTAGTGATAAGGAACTGAAATCATTGTGTATGGTTTCAATATACCGGTACACCCCCTTGTAAGTTTTTTAAGGGCCCGTGGTGCTTATTATGTAAAATAAAGTAATTGCAACCATGTAATACTGAGCATCAAATATGTTAAATCCTCTCCCTCTATATTGGTCCCGTTATCAGTGAAATACAAGTCCCAGCTAAAACCCATAACATTAATTATAACTATAACTGAAGACTTGGGGCTGAATATCATGAATATCGGCCTCTGAGCTGGTACGGAATTACTAACTCCCTGCATGTCATATAACCTACTTGGAACAGGAAGACTGACATGAAATTACACTTTTTATTCCCTGCCATGAAGTGTGGTAGGGGATATAGGAATGGAGTTAGTTCTTCTATCTGTCTTTACGTCCATCCATCTGCTTCTCAAAGGGAACAGGGGAGGTCGGGTAGCCTAGTGGTTAAAGCTTTCGCTCGTCACGCCGAAGACCCGGGTTCGATTCCCGACATGGGTACAATGTGTGAAGCCTATTTCTGGTGTCCCCTGCCGTGATATTGCTGGAATATTGCTAAAAGCGGCGTAAAACCATACTCACTCACTCACTCACTCACTCAAAGGGTACAAATTTTCTCTAAAACTATTTAAGTTAGAGAAATGAAAGTTTACACATTGATACTACTAGTCTTGATCTTAAATGAGTTTGAAAATTGGTGTCTTAAGTACATTTTTACAGAGTGATGGACTTTGCCCCGTGCTCTTCACAGCTTGTCATGTCCATGTTGTGTTCTTGTAGTTGTCATGTCAGGTGTCTTTCCATTATTGTAATATCAACCTCACGAACATCTCGACTCTCCCCACACCTGGATGCCGATATGCTGCACTGATGTGCCATATTTGGTTTGTAAAAAAAATGATTAAATAAAAATTTATACCAATCCAGGCACTGACCACAAAGTATGACCTGTATTTTGATATCTATCACATGTCCGGTTAATTCTGCGCCAGGAGAGTCTGGGGCAGAGTAGATCCTTGGCGTAAAAGCCCATGCAATGTGGAGAGTTGATCATGCCTGGTTCAAGCTGGAGTATAAAGGGCTACTGAGGTGGCAGGGATGTCATTGTATGTTGCGATATTGATCTATTGGAAAAATGTTATAGTCGATGATCTATAGATACAAATTTGTGAATATCGTTACTATGTAATTCACTGCCACAGAAACATTCACGTTTTTTTAGATTACCGTGGTTAAGAGTGACAATGGGATGGCAGATAATTCAATTTGAAGCTTTGAAGGGATCAGTCTTGTTCATGTTTAGCAATACCGGAAGATTAATTTCAGGTGTACTTCAGTATTTCCAATCAATGACACCCCTACCAGGAAGTTAGAAAATTCTGGCTGCGGCATAATGTAATCAGTGTTACATGAAATAACATGTCAAGTGTTCTTATCATGTAAACAAGCTACTGACATGTCTCTTGCCAGAACCTGAATCATATACTGCTGTGTAAACTGGACTAATATTTCAGCAGTCTCATTAAAATCAGATGTTAGTGCTCGCTACCGATCTTATTTTAATGAGATTGATATTTCAGTTACAAATGGATATGGTTTGTACAGATTCTAGCAAGAACATTTATGATATGTATTGTTATCATGATCATAGATATGTATGGCTCAGGATCAATTATGGCAAAAACATAAATGCCATATAAGGCTAAAAAAAAAAAAAATCTTGGTTCTCAGGCCCGCATCATCATAAATCACGTTTCTTTTTTTATTTCCATTTTCAAAAAAATATATTAAAGTCCTAATACTTAAAAACAATGCGATCCAATAAAGGATGCAGTTACCTTTACATGTGCACCAATTTACTGCGCACCTTGTGTTATAGTAATGGTGGCAATAGGAGTTTGTATGCTTCTATATGTAGGGAGGCCCTTTCCCAGGTTGATGGTACACAACTGTTTATTTCGTTACATACTAGTTTGAACAAGCCAAAAAAACCAAACCACCACCCGCCTGCACTATATTTTCAAAAGTCATTGCCTGAGAACTAATTCTAATTTTTTTAAGCCTGAGGAGCATTTATTTGCATGAATTTTCACATGTACCCCAGACTGACAATATAGTGAAAGAACAGCACACTATTATTTCACTGATTGAATGTCATAAGAAGTATTGGTATCTGGGAGCGAACACTGTTCGGCAGATTGCTTTGTGTCCACTCATGTTTTCCAACAGTATGTCATTTTGTGACCCCTGTTTTGTTTCTCCCTGTGTGTTTGTCACAGGTAAGTGTTTGCAAGAGGTTTTTCTTTTCTGACAGACTTACAAAGGAGGACTTCCGTGTGTTGTTCACTGTGGAGGAGTTCGAGCCGCTCCTAGACTCATCCAACATGAACATGCAGGACTGGGCCACCATTGCTAATAGGATACAGGTAAACGTGATTGTCTCCCTTGTATCAGTTGGGTGTTGTGAATGATAGCTTGTGTGTACCAGTTTAGGCCTTCAGTTATGTTGAGTATCACCCATAAGGGTTGAATGATCCTGTGAAATAACTTTATGATATTTGCATTTTAGCAGTTCTCAATGCTGATTGGTCAATTGTAGGCATGTGATGTCACAGTGCTTCATTGATGAGAAAAATATGGTATGACGTCATCCATTGTTCATGACGTCACAGATTGATTACATTACGTCACCTGAACAATAGGCTGCCTTCAGTGAAGTTTCTCTGTAGGGTTGACATTTCATAAGTTTCTTCTTATTCTTCTTCCTGACCCGTGAAGATCCAGGGTAGAACAGGGAGCCGTTGTACAAAGCGATCTTAGCGCTTAGGTGATTGTAACTCCCATACCTTAACATAGACTTACGACAGCGCTAAGGTTGTTTTGTACAACGACACCCTATGCTTGCCGTAAAAGGCGACTGTGCTTGTTGTAAGAAGCATCAGGTGGCCAGGCTCACTGACTTGGTTGATGCATGTCATTGTATCCCAATTTCAGGGATCGATGCTCATGATGTCAATCACTGGATTGTCTGGTCCAGACTTGATTATTTACAGACCGCCGTCATATAGCTGGAATATTGCTGAGTGAGGCGTTAAACAACAAACAAACAAACATTTTCTCCCTTGAAATATCAATGAGTAAAATATAGAATAACCAACAAGGTAAGAGGAATTAGGGATTATCTGTCCCTCGTGAATAATTGCTATAAGTCCCTCAACACGGACTTGGAATTAACACCATTCATTCACTTGGGTCAGATAATCCATAATTCGCTGTAGCTCGTTGGTTATTCTCTAAGTATTTGCTCTGGTTAATCCTATGAAAGATTTTGCCTACTCATCAACTAGGGTACTTGGGACTCGGGTCAAGTGGGTACTGAGAAGGACCTGGGTACCCACCGGACTACCCGGACCTGTGGTTTGTCACGTGACATATTGTTTATTAATAAAAATTATCTAGGACTCCATGGTTCCACAACAAGTCACTAATGTTCGCATTTCTTTCTCACTATGTACGGATTACTACTGATGTTTATATTTTTAAATAAAGATAGAACTTCAGTCAACTTCAGAGTATGCATGACCAGATCATTTTATAAATGTACTTAAATGCCAGGGCTGCAGTCAAACTATTCCCAATCGGACAGTTTGAACTTATCTTTTGAGACCCTCAGCGGGTACCCGGGTAGGGTCAGGTAATACGGGGTTGGGTACCTGTGTAGGGTAGGGTATTACGGGGGGGTGGGTACCTGGGTAGGGTCGGGTAATACAGGATTGGGTACCTGAGTAGCGTCGGGTAATACGGGGTTGGGTACCTGAGTAGGGTAGGGTAATACGGGGTTGTGTACCCGAGTAGTGAAGGGTAATACAGGGTTGGGTACCTAAGTAGGGTAGGGTAATACAGGGTTGGGTACCCGAGTAGTGTAGGGTAATACAGGGTTGGGTACCTGAGTAGGGTAGGGTAATACAGGGTTGGGTACCCGAGTAGTGTAGGGTAATACGGGGTTGGGTTCCAGCCCAAAGGTTAGTAGATTGCCGAGGATGTTGTTAGGGTGTAAAGGAAGTAGAACTCATGATTGTGTGGTTTACTGATTGGAACATGTTCTTAATAGATACAGACCGCCTCTGTTATCTAGTGGATGGAGTGGAGTGTCGATGGTTTAATACCCCAGCCGCATCATACCATTAGATGTTAAAAGATGGTACTTGTTGTTACCCTGTCTGGTGTTCAGCATTGGGGAGATAAAACAAGGTTGGCATTTGTCTTGACAAGTAAAAACAACAGCAGTTACTGCACATATACATACATGCATGTTGCTATATATTGTGGCAATAGGACAAAGATGTCTTTGTCAATTACCTAAGTGTAATCACATAATTGCAGCTGTACACAAGAGTGTGGCTTGTGCCATGAGCTTGCACTCAGCATCTTGCTAGTGAGAGTTATCTCCCTCATACTGCCTTTGGCAGAGGCCCATCTAAGGTTGGGGCCCATTTAGGGTTTAGCTAAGACCACATATTTGTGCAATAATCTTGAACATGACATTAAACCTCATTACCCCTCACCTGAATGGATACCGACATGTGACTTTGTTATGTCTGTTGCAACTGTAGCAGGTGTAGGTGTGTACTGATGTCAACCATTGCCGTTATAACTTGTCATCATTGTATTGACAGTGGAACCATGGACAATTGCAATACATTGTGAATACACAATGCCATTTAGAAAGTGGTCACTTGTAACAAGTGTTATATTTGGGATAACACTTTCTTAGTAAAGTACAGATTCTCGTACTTTTTGGGGGTTGAGTCCCGTCCGGGATTCGAACCCACACTTGCCAGAGTAAGGGACACAAAGTCAGCGATCTAACCCACTCAGCCACCGAGGCTTCCACAAAAATGAAAGTCCGAAAACTGGTAGTCTAGATCACATACTTTGAGTACCCCTCTGACAAGGGTAAATTGGCACGGCTCCCGGACGGGACTCAACCTAAAAAAAGTACGAGAATCTGTACTTTACTAAGAAAGTGTTATCCCAAATATAACATTTGTTGCTATACATTGATCATCCAGTATTTACACCCGAGTCACGCCAGCTACCCTCCCTGTTTCTCTGTCTGGCTTGGGTCTGATGGTGTGTTATGTTTTCTGCAGGACAACTATGACCAGTTTGATGGATTTGTGGTTCTGCATGGCACGGACACGATGGCATACACTGCATCTGCTCTCTCCTTCATGTGTGAACACCTGGGCAAGCCAATCATACTCACCGGCTCACAGGTAGGTGGGGAAATATACCTGCAATGACTATTAAACATTAACATTATTCTTTCTACAGGAATGAAACGACACTTGAAAAATCAATGTCTGAAGGTCTGTGGAGACTACTGTGATAATGTAAGGAAAAGTTTAAGGTGAAAACAAGTGGCATGTATTTTGTTTGTGAAACTTTCCAACATGTTTATTTTGTTGAGAAGTGTATATCTATTTTGTTGAGAAGTGTATGTTTATTTGTTGAGAAGTGTATGTTTATTTGTTGAGAAGTGTATGTTTATTTTGTTGAGAAGTGTATGTTTATTTGTTGAGAAGTGTATGTTTATTTGTTGAGAAGTGTATGTTTATTTGTTGAGAAGTGTATGTTTGTTGACTGAGAACTTCTGATTGTGTTTACGACTGTTACCTGTGTCCTTGTGTCTCCAGATCCCGATCTATGAAGTGAGGAGTGATGGCCGGGACAACTTCCTCTCGTCGCTCATCATTGCTGGGAACTACTGCATCCCCGAGGTGAGTAGGGGTGGTATGGGCTTTTTGGGTGGCTAGGATATTGCTAAACATCAACATCACAACAAACAAACAAACAAGATATTTTACTGTAGTATTAAGACATATATTATCTGCTGTCAGGTCTAATATGATAAAAGTAATGTCATGATATATTGATGTAAGACTTGTTAGCTGCTGCACATTCTGTCCAATAACAATGATCTTGGGTTGTGTACTTCTCAAGGAGCGAGGATATGCAAGACCACATCATTCAAAGTACATTTATTATTACATCGGTTTTAATCGTAGTATACTTGTTAGTTTTAATCAATGGCTAAACTTGCATACAATTGCCAGCGACTGAAGGGATGGTGTAAAACCTGCTGGGGTCCATGTAGATAGCAAAGGTACTATAAGTCCCTAGTATGGTGATCTGCCTGACGATCTATAGCCCGCTTTTACAATGTATTGTTCTGTTTAGTAATAGCTTTTTATGGTCACATACTAGTTTTAAAAGTTGATATCTGTGATAAGTCTAGTAATTTTTCTGTCCTTTGCTGACAGGTTTTTATATTGTCTAAGTTAATGCTTTCTTAATGTTTTAATTGCTTTAGTCACGATATGGCTGAAATATTGCCGATATGACTTTAAATATTAACTCACTCACTCACAGTTTTACTTCTAAACTGTGATAGTCTAGTTATCATACTGTTTGTTGATGACAGGTATTTATTCATCTAAATTTAAATATTATTAATGCTCTCGTCACGATATGGCTGAAATATTGCCAATGTGATGTTAAATTTTAACTCACTCACTCTCAAGGAGCTGGGAATGAAAATCAAGTGCACACTGATCAATTAACTTGGGGTAATAATGTTAGAGCTTAGAACGTGCCTTAGGGTGTGGATTTGGTGCAATATAAATATGCACATTAATATTATTATCTTTGTGAACTGTAAATTTGTTGGAACTTTTAAAAATACTGGAAATGTCTCAACAAGAACGTATTTACAAACAAGTGGCCGCTGCTTTTAGTATTTTCCAAATCAGCATTTGGCTTTATTGTTTGCCAGGTCCAGTGATAGTCAGTATGTGAATGTTCCAGGTGCTTGTGTGTTTCAACGAAAAGGTGTTTCGAGGTAACCGCACCATCAAGAATGATTCAACAAGCTTCAGTGCTTTCAAGTCCCCCAACATGGCTCCCATCGTGACGCTGGAGATTGATATTTCAGGTACTGCCATGCACTGTAGTATCAGTGACACATCAAGTTATTGTTATCAAGAACCCAACTTGAAGTCTCATACATTTTATATTTTACGATATTGGAGGAAAGTTTGTCTTTGGAGTGAATGATATGGTACCTAAAAGTTTAGTTCATGTGTGAAATTTGGTCTGACAAAGAAACAGATCGAAGACATTGCCCATTGATGTATTGACTTCAATATGGTTTTGCATTTATGGAGTTATATATGAAAATACAGGTGTTCACACTTGCATGGTTTTGATTCGCTACCAGTTTCTATAAATGCAAAAATATTCTTGACTGAACATGGTCAAATCTTCCAATATTACAACCTACTGATTATCTTCCCTGCAGTGGACTGGGCAGGTGTATTCCGCAGCGGCACCACGGAGAAGTTCCGTGTGGCAACCAACTTCTGCCCCAATGTGGGTCTGTTGAGGATCTTTCCAGGCATAACTGCTCAAACAGTGAGTACAGACCTCTCCGCATACACGTCCGAGACGGTCTATTTTCTGATGGATGGTCAGTTTTGAAAGTTGCATGACAAATGGTCAGGAGTTAAAGTTACTAAGTTGAGAATCCACCAGTGTATTGTTATTTTTCTGAGAACTAACATTACTAGTCTTATGTTTGCCCTTTTGTTACTTTTGTTCGTTAGTCGAGAAAATTCTGGACTGGCAACATTTTATCTGGTCTGGTAACTTTGCATAGTTGCAAGTCCGGTTGTCTGATTAAAAGTTTGGAGAATTTTCATACACTGATCAATCTCATTGAAATCAGATCATAGTGCTCACTACCACTTGTCAAAGATCTGAGGACATCCCATTACAGGTCATGTCAGAACAACCTTTCGTGACCTTTGACCAACCAATGAAATGACTAACAAAAAAAATAAGCTTTTGCCAATCAGAAAGCAGCTTTCTCAAGCACTAGTTTCAAACTGGAGACTTCCATTCCAGACTATACTTTTGAATCTTTTTGGACAAATTCTCGATTAAAAATGTGAATATTGAACAAATGAAAATTCTGGACTGTCTTACAGATGGCCGAGATTACCGTATATGTCCGCAATTAAGCCGAATTTTGAGGACCAGAAAAATGATTCCGTAGAAAGGGGTCGGCTTATCCACGGGATACACTTTCATGATAGTATTTTTCAGATCGTGATCTGTCAGAACCATCGCCTGAATGACGGTCCGATAGATTACAACTTCCCGAAAGTTTGGAAGTTGCCATGACTAGAGCCATTATTGTTATAAATTATCAATAAAGTTATTGTTATACACCAATGTTGTCATTATTAAAAAAATGTTATGCATGTTACTACTTCCGATAATAATTTTTCAATTGAATGTTCAAAGTTTATCGTTCTATGTGTCACAACTTCCCGTGCACTGTGGAAAGTCTTTTCTGTTTGAAATGTTTCTTTGAAGTGAGAGACAGACGATGATTTTGACCGAATCAGTTGTACAGTCCACAAGTGTTTTGACGTGACCCGTAACAGTATGTCCTCAGATCATATACACAGTCTGTGAATTTGTTGATTAAATGCTCATATCTAGGTCCAGCTAGACTTGCCTACTTTTATCAGCTGGATTGGTTTTGATTCAGCTAAATGCAGGTGTTCCGCAGTCATGGTGCAGGACTATTCAGACCGTATTCGTGGAAATGGAGGCACACTGTCCTAGCACCAGCTAATGGATTGTAATGTGAGTCTGTGTTCTTCCATGTAGGTGCGAGCATTTATGCAGCCGCCAATGCAGGGAGTTGTTCTTCAAACATACGGGGCTGGTAACGCCCCCGACAACCGACAGGACCTGCTGCAACTGTTCCGGGAAGCCACCAACTGGGGCATCATCATCATCAACATCACCCAGTGTACTCACGGCAGAGTGTCCACATCCTACGCTACAGGGAAGGTAGGAGGAATAGACACACCATAGTCGACAGTACATGTTTGTCGGGCTCAATTGGTAAATGTCTTAGACCTGCATCACTTTCAGTTTTCCTCACACATTAAAACTGATATGCTGTGAAAAGATTAAAATGCTGGTTGTGGCGATATGACAAAGATGTCTTCGTTCGTTAACTATGTTTAATCACTGTAATTGTAGCTGTGTACAAGAGTGTAGCTGGTGCCATGTGCTTGCACCCTGCAGCATGCTCGTGAGAGTTATCTCCCCTACACTGTCTTTGACTGAGGCCCATTTAAGGATGGGGCCCATTTAGGGTTTAACTAATACCACACTGGTGAAAGTGGCATTAAATCACTAACACCAATCCACTCACTTGCAGACATCTGTGAAGATCCAGGTTAGAATAGGTCATCAGCAACCCATGCTTGCCGTAAGAGGCGACTATGCTTGTTGTAAGAGGCATCAGGTGGTCAGGCACGCTGACTTGGTTGATGCATGTCGTTGTATCCCAACTGTGTGGATCGCTTCTCATGGTATCAATCACTGGATTGTCTTGATTATTTATAGACTTCTGATGTTGGTGTTATACAAAAAAACAAACAAACAAACAAACAGTCTTGCAGACATACAACATCTGTGAGGATGCCGGATAAGTATAGGTCCCTAGCAACCCATACTGTTCGTTAGGAGTGACCTGATGGATTGGGTGGTCATATATGTTGACTTGGTTGATACTGTGTCACTGTCACTTTCCTGATCTGGTAAGTGATGCTCTGATTGGTCAGATGAAAGGCCATTCTCACCTGATTTGTCAAGGGATGTCCTCAGATCTGAGGGTAGGATTTCACTAATATATAAATCGTCTGTGAAATGTGTGTGGCATTAAACAACAAACAAACAAACTGACACATCATGCTTAAATTATCTGTAATCCTCCAGGTACAATAGGTAGCATTTATATCCCACTTTCATCTTGAAATGACGTTGACGTTGTGTTTTCTGACTGTGATCTCTGACTGTGGTGTGTCCAGGCCCTGCGAGAAACAGGGGTCATACCTGGCGGCGACATGACCCCAGAGGCCGCTCTCGCCAAACTCGGATACATTCTCGGCAAAGATAGTTGGTCTCTGGACAAGAAGCGAAAGGTGAGGGCTCAGACACTTGGAGGGCTGCTTGTATCTAACTTAGTGATTGTTGTACATTCCATGATCTGAAGGGAATCTTATCTGGTCTTGTGATTCAGGATGATACCATGCCGAGTGAAATTGTCAGGATAAACAAAGTTCTTGATCAATGAATGGTGGGCATGGGTAAATATCCTTTTTGTGACTTCGTGAGTGTGTGTGTGTGTGTGTGCGTGTGCGTGTTTGTGTGCATTCCTAACTGTACCAAAATTGGAAGGTCAGTGGCATTAAGAGATTGTACTTGTTCCCACCTTGCCTGGCGCTTGGCATCGAGGGGCTAAAACAAGGACTGGTCGGCTCAGAGTCAGTATACTGTGTCTGAGTGGGGTATAAACATTTCAATGGGTTAGCACTGTAAAACTGGCATAAGTCCCAACTAGTACAAGTAGCCTCACCTGCACGTGCATGCACATCGCTATGTAAGTGCAATAATCTTGAACTTGCCTGAATTACATGATTGAATGTTTTGTTGGGTGTCATGTTATTCCCCTGTTGATGCATGGCTAGTGACACTTACTATTGCATGGGTTTTTAGTTTTACCATGTGGCAGACTTCTTTACTGTTCCACGTTGATCTGTGCAGATGATGAGCCGCAACCTGCGCGGTGAGATGACCACGTCTATCCAGGAGGAGATCTCCATCATGGACCACGAGCTGATAGAGAGTGTAGCCAGGACCCTCAGCCTCAGCAGCAAGGATGTGGGTGTGACAGGAATTAGCTTGTACACTGTAGTTGAAGGGGAACTCATTACATTCACTTTACAGTCAGAATATCATTTACACATTGAGCTTGTGGGGATTCCAAGTTAGAATGTGTCGCCTGCAACCAATGCAAGGCGAAAGAAATGACTCATGTGTATCATGGTATCACAATGGCAGAATGTTGCTTATGATATCAATCACTGGGTTGTCTGGTCCAGACTCAATCTTTTAGGGCCTCCATCATAAAGCTGACAAACTGCTGACCAACATCCATGTGACATTTAGATAGAAAGTCATTTATAGTTTATATGTGACATTAAAATTGACAGTCATTTGCAATTTACATGTGACATTAAACTTGACAGTCATACAAACAAATATGTGACTTTACAATAGAAATTTGTTTACATTTTACATGTGACATCAAGTCATGAGATAAGAAGGTCTGTTACGCTTAAGTTGAGACATTGAGATGGAATGTCATTTACATTTTTCATTAAGATGGAAAGGCTTTCACATTTTACGTTGAAGTCATTTACACATTACTTCATTAAGATGGAAAGGCTTTCACATTTTATGTTGAAGTCATTTACACATTACTTCATAAAGATGGAAAGGCTTTCACATTTTACGTTGAAGTCATTTACACATTACTTCATTAAGATGGAAAGGCTTTCACATTTTACGTTGAAGTCATTTACACATTACTTCATTAAGATGGAAAAGCATTAATAGCAGGGTTGTGATATGAGTGGGTGAGTGAAGACTTGTGCTGGTCAGCAGGGTTGTGATATGAGTGGGTGAGTGAAGACTTGTGCTGGCCACCAGGGTTGTAGCTAATTAAGCATATCCTGGAAGAAATACTATCTTATTTCGTTCAAAGGAAAAAGACAGAAAATGCAAAATATATTTGGCTAACCCTGTGAATTTCCTTTCAGCTATTTCATCAAGACATACAAGTTCTGTACTGGCTGTTACAGCCCTGATACCTTCCTGATACATAACGATGACTAAACAGTGTATCAGTGGTTACAGCCCTGATACCTTCCTGATACATAACGATGACTAAACAGTGTACCAGTGGTTACAGCCCTGATACCTTCCTGATACATAACGATGACTAAACAGTGTATCAGTGGTTACAGCCCTGATAACTTCCTGATACATAACGATGACTAAACAGTGTATCAGTGGTTACAGCCCTGATAACTTCCTGATACATAACGATGACTAAACAGTGTATCAGTGGTTACAGCCCTGATAACTTCCTGATACATAACGATGACTAAACAGTGTATCAGTGGTTACAGCCCTGATAACTTCCTGATACATAACGATGACTAAACAGTGTATCAGTGGTTACAGCCCTGATAACTTCCTGATACATAACGATGACTAAACAGTGTACCAGTGGTTACAGCCCTGATAACTTCCTGATACATAACGATGACTAAACAGTGTATCAGTGGTTACAGCCCTGATAACTTCCTGATACATAACGATGACTAAACAGTGTATCAGTGGTTACAGCCCTGATAACTTCCTGATACATAACGATGACTAAACAGTGTATCAGTGGTTACAGCCCTGATAACTTCCTGATACATAACGATGACTAAACAGTGTACCAGTGGTTACAGCCCTGATAACTTCCTGATACATAACGATGACTAAACAGTGTATCAGTGGTTACAGCCCTGATAACTTCCTGATACATAACGATGACTAAACAGTGTATCAGTGGTTACAGCCCTGATAACTTCCTGATACATAACGATGACTAAACAGTGTATCAGTGGTTACAGCCCTGATAACTTCCTGATTCATAACGATGACTAAACAGTGTATCAGTGGTTACAGCCCTGATAACTTCCTGATACATAACGATGACTAAACAGTGTATCAGTGGTTACAGCCCTGATAACTTCCTGATTCATAATGATGACTAAACAGTGTATCAGTGGTTACAGCCCTGATAACTTCCTGATACATAACGATGACTAAACAGTGTATCAGTGGTTACAGCCCTGATAACTTCCTGATACATAACGATGACTAAACAGTGTATCAGTGGTTACAGCCCTGATAACTTCCTGATACATAACGATGACTAAACAGTGTATCAGTGGTTACAGCCCTGATAACTTCCTGATACATAACGATGACTAAACAGTGTATCAGTGGTTACAGCCCTGATAACTTCCTGATACATAACGATGACTAAACAGTGTATCAGTGGTTACAGCCCTGATAACTTCCTGATACATAACGATGACTAAACAGTGTATCAGTGGTTACAGCCCTGATAACTTCCTGATTCATAACGATGACTAAACAGTGTATCAGTGGTTACAGCCCTGATAACTTCCTGATACATAACGATGACTAAACAGTGTATCAGTGGTTACAGCCCTGATAACTTCCTGATTCATAACGATGACTAAACAGTGTATCAGTGGTTACAGCCCTGATAACTTCCTGATACATAACGATGACTAAACAGTGTATCAGTGGTTACAGCCCTGATAACTTCCTGATACATAACGATGACTAAACAGTGTATCAGTGGTTACAGCCCTGATAACTTCCTGATACATAACGATGACTAAACAGTGTATCAGTGGTTACAGCCCTGATAACTTCCTGATACATAACGATGACTAAACAGTGTATCAGTGGTTACAGCCCTGATAACTTCCTGATACATAACGATGACTAAACAGTGTATCAGTGGTTACAGCCCTGATAACTTCCTGATACATAACGATGACTAAACAGTGTATCAGTGGTTACAGCCCTGATAACTTCCTGATTCATAACGATGACTAAACAGTGTATCAGTGGTTACAGCCCTGATAACTTCCTGATACATAACGATGACTAAACAGTGTATCAGTGGTTACAGCCCTGATAACTTCCTGATACATAACGATGACTAAACAGTGTATCAGTGGTTACAGCCCTGATAACTTCCTGATACATAACGATGACTAAACAGTGTACCAGTGGTTACAGCCCTGATAACTTCCTGATACATAACGATGACTAAACAGTGTACCAGTGGTTACAGCCCTGATAACTTCCTGATACATAACGATGACTAAACAGTGTATCAGTGGTTACAGCCCTGATAACTTCCTGATACATAACGATGACTAAACAGTGTATCAGTGGTTACAGCCCTGATACCTTCCTGATACATAACGATGACTAAACAGTGTATCAGTGGTTACAGCCCTGATACCTTCCTGATACATAACGATGACTAAACAGTGTATCAGTGGTTACAGCCCTGATACCTTCCTGATACATAACGATGACTAAACAGTGTATCAGTGGTTACAGCCCTGATACCTTCCTGATACATAACGATGACTAAACAGTGTATCAGTGGTTACAGCCCTGATAACTTCCTGATACATAACGATGACTAAACAGTGTATCAGTGGTTACAGCCCTGATACCTTCCTGATACATAATGATGACTAAACAGTGTATCAGTGGTTACAGCCCTGATAACTTCCTGATACATAACGATGACTAAACAGTGTATCAGTGGTTACAGCCCTGATAACTTCCTGATACATAACGATGACTAAACAGTGTATCAGTGGTTACAGCCCTGATAACTTCCTGATACATAACGATGACTAAACAGTGTATCAGTGGTTACAGCCCTGATAACTTCCTGATACATAACGATGACTAAACAGTGTATCAGTGGTTACAGCCCTGATAACTTCCTGATACATAACGATGACTAAACAGTGTATCAGTGGTTACAGCCCTGATAACTTCCTGATACATAACGATGACTAAACAGTGTATCAGTGGTTACAGCCCTGATAACTTCCTGATACATAACGATGACTAAACAGTGTATCAGTGGTTACAGCCCTGATACCTTCCTGATACATAACGATGACTAAACAGTGTATCAGTGGTTACAGCCCTGATAACTTCCTGATACATAACGATGACTAAACAGTGTACCAGTGGTTACAGCCCTGATAACTTCCTGATACATAACGATGACTAAACAGTGTATCAGTGGTTACAGCCCTGATAACTTCCTGATACATAACGATGACTAAACAGTGTATCAGTGGTTACAGCCCTGATAACTTCCTGATACATAACGATGACTAAACAGTGTATCAGTGGTTACAGCCCTGATAACTTCCTGATACATAACGATGACTAAACAGTGTATCAGTGGTTACAGCCCTGATAACTTCCTGATACATAACGATGACTAAACAGTGTATCAGTGGTTACAGCCCTGATACCTTCCTGATACATAACGATGACTAAACAGTGTACCAGTGGTTACAGCCCTGATACCTTCCTGATACATAACGATGACTAAACAGTGTATCAGTGGTTACAGCCCTGATAACTTCCTGATACATAACGATGACTAAACAGTGTATCAGTGGTTACAGCCCTGATACCTTCCTGATACATAACGATGACTAAACAGTGTATCAGTGGTTACAGCCCTGATAACTTCCTGATACATAACGATGACTAAACAGTGTATCAGTGGTTACAGCCCTGATAACTTCCTGATACATAACGATGACTAAACAGTGTATCAGTGGTTACAGCCCTGATAACTTCCTGATACATAACGATGACTAAACAGTGTATCAGTGGTTACAGCCCTGATAACTTCCTGATTCATAACGATGACTAAACAGTGTATCAGTGGTTACAGCCCTGATAACTTCCTGATACATAACGATGACTAAACAGTGTATCAGTGGTTACAGCCCTGATAACTTCCTGATACATAACGATGACTAAACAGTGTATCAGTGGTTACAGCCCTGATACCTTCCTGATACATAACGATGACTAAACAGTGTATCAGTGGTTACAGCCCTGATAACTTCCTGATTCATAACGATGACTAAACAGTGTATCAGTGGTTACAGCCCTGATAACTTCCTGATACATAACGATGACTAAACAGTGTATCAGTGGTTACAGCCCTGATACCTTCCTGATACATAACGATGACTAAACAGTGTATCAGTGGTTACAGTAACACATTAACAGCCTCCCATGTATGCCATCAAACAAACTCTGTATACTTCATCTCTCTGTATTTGAGGTAGCCTAGTGGTTATGGTGTTTGCTCGCCACACTGAAGACCTGGGTTTGATTCCTCACATGGTACGCAATGTGTGAAGCCCACTGCCACTCCCATGGCTGGCATGAAGCTAACTCGGGGGTAAAACATTAAGGACACTTACATATTTTTAATAAAAAATATTTTAAATAATCAGGTAGAAATTCAACATATGCAAAGGACCACACCTTTAAAGATGACTATTTTGGTCCTTAGCAAATGTTGAGTGGTATATGAGTCACATTAAAACAGAATTTCCTTTCATTGAAATTTAATTTTACTAAACCACATATCTTGTAAGTATTATACCATACAATTGTGTGGATAATTCAACTAAAACCTGGACAAAATTGTATTCAGTCAAACCCTGTTGTCTCAAACTTGGATGTGTTAAATCCCTGGATTCTCAAGCTCACACACCAGTCACTGAAAACTCTTTCTATAACTAACACTTTGTGTAGCCCAGATGTAAACTCAATTTATAGTCCCAAGACTTAAAACTAAGTTAAAACATACCCTTATAAGTCAAAGTCAAGACAATTTTAAAGCAACATTTATCTCCAGTTAGAATTTTAAATTTTTTGATGAAATGCTTCTAGATGTAGATGACGCATGCCAAATCAAAAACAGATCTCGGGAAAGTTCTTCAATATATTTAGGCAGCTATTGATTAATAAACCACACTTCAACTGCCTCGAGTTATTCACAGTACAATCAAAACTATATGGATTAACAATTAAGTTTGGGTTTTGTATCTTGTAAATGAAGAATGTATTTGTTTAAAATTAAACACAAAACATGACAGTTGATCATTACAGTACATTCACTGATACCTGATAGGCTGATACAATGAGACATGCGTCATGAAAGTGAAGTAAACGTACTAATTGTCTGGCACACAACATTACACACCTGGCCTTGATGCACTGCCACGCCTCTTATTTCCAGGAGATTGTGAAACTGCGCGATGCTCTGTATCCCAACCTGATGTGTGCTGCAGCCTGCACTGGGGATGTTCAGGCTCTTGAAAAGCTACGCCAGACTGTGAGTGCACTGATGCATGTTGGGTAGTGGCACTGATGCATGCTGGGTGGTGGTTTGTTCCCAGACAAGACACTTGTGGAATCTGAAATGAATGCAATGGGGTGGTCTGTTTTTGAAATAATTTTCATAACAATTTTTTGAGAATATGTAGTAAGAGTGCACGGTATTACCGGTATATTGGTAAATTGAAGTTCATTCTTATCATGATACATATCACAATATCATGTTTCAATGCTCGGTATATCAGTTGATTTTATCATGTGATTAATGTTATACACTTGCCAAATTAACGTACCTTCAAAATGTTTCCATAAGACCAAAATGCAAGTTCGCATTCTGGATTACTTCTCTGGCAATTTTGTAACACCAAGTCATCTCTGTCCTGGAGCGTGCATCCTTGCATATTTTTTGAATGAGTAAACATAATATGCTGTTCCAGCATCTTGTTTTGTTCCATTTATGAAGTTCAATTCCTGCATTGATTCCTTCTAAATGCAAAGTTTTGAATTATACAATATAGTGTGATACCTATCGCACTACGGCCTTGTGCATTGTAAAATATTGTGATACACGTTAAACATCCAATACCCATCCCTAATATATAGTGCGTAAAAGACTTACAGACAGTTGTTTCTCAGGCATTAACTTTAGGAAAGTGGCATGGATGGCAAAATAATACCACAAATATGACAATTTATCTTGTGTCCAAAATATATCATCTCACACAAAGGGGTATGATATTGATGGAAGAGGGGAATCTCAAGACAGAAAATATATATTTATTTGTCTAACAATATGGAAGTAAGCTTAACTTCCATTATGTCAATTTTATTAATTTTGTTATAGTTTTTTATCCTAAACCACACAATCATCTGTAGCATCACCTTACAACTTCTGTATTCTCCTTCTTCAGGGGGGTAATATATCTGCTGCCAACCAAGATGGCCGCACAGCTCTACATGTGGCCTGTCGGGGTGGTCATTTCTCCACCGTGCAGTATCTGCTCCACCATGGGGCATCGGTCCACATCAAGGATTACCATGGCGACACCCCACTGATTGATGCCATCAGTGGGAAGCACATGGCCATCATCAAGCTGCTGGTCCAGACTGGGGCTGTCAGTCCCCTGAAGCCCGAGAAGATGGCGGTGGAGCTGTGTAGGTGAGTGACAGGACGTAGGTTATACCTGGTAGTTGATCAGTCCCGTTGTCATGGCCTGTCTTTCCCTCCATCAATATGGAAGTCTGTCCTGGGTTTAAGATGTTAGGTCTGATTAATATCTCATCTGATATTTCTAGTGCATCTGTGTTTGTTTTGCATACTGGTTCTCTGACCTGAGACATTCAGGTACCACTTTATAAGGCAGTTTAATTTCCTGTGCAGAGTTGTGTCCCTTAGGTGTGCCAGGAACCTATGAGCATGGGTTTGAATCCTGCTTCTCCCTGATAATGATTCTAGGTTTGTCAGCTCCATATCAGTCTGTGCTCATGGGTTTCACCAGTTGTGAATATCTAAGACCTGCTTGACTTTGGTGATATAACGGAAATAGTGTTCAAAACAGTGTTGAAGGGCATGTAAACTGAAAAAGATGATATTGAAATTTTGTTGCAAAAGTCACTTTTCCTAGATATATTTAGTCAGATTTCGAGAGAGAAAACTTCATAATATTCACAGAAAGTATGTAAATGTCCAAGTGAAAGTGTTGGAATCACATGCTCTGTTGTCGGCTTCCTAAGCAAACCCATTTTGGGCCTTGGCCTATACCTCTGGGCACAGTGGTGACCAATGATTTCATTGGCTGATATGTTTGTCTCGTTTAGCTTATATAATCAGATGGATGAGCAGACAAAAAAAATGAGTTTTGAGTTTTTAAAAAAGCTCTTTGATGAGTTAGAACATGGTCACTGAAGTTTTGCTCTTTTCCTTTTGTAAGTTCACTCATGTTTGCAGTACTGATATTATTAACATTGTAACCCATATTTCAGTGCTGCCTCTCAGAATGATGTTGACACAATCAGGGCATGGCACGAGGCAGGAGCTGACCTCAACGTCTGTGACTACAACTACCGAGCTGCACTTCATGTGGTGAGCTGAGTGAAGGAGTAGTTGTCCATTGGGAGGGTAATGTTTGCTGTCAAGGAGGTGGCTGTGGGAAGAGATGCTAATCAGTGATACAAGAAACAACATAGAAATACAGGACACAGGTTGCCAGGAGCACTTGAACTTTATGTTTTGTGCTTTGTTTGTTTGTTTGATTGTTGTTTGATTCCGCATTCAGCAATATTCCAGCTATATGCCGGCGGTCTGTAAATAATCGAGTTTGGACCAGACAATCCAGTGGTTGACATGAGCATCGATCCACGCAATTGGGATACGATGACATGCATCATCTAAGTCAGCGGGCCTGACCACCCGATCCCGATCCCAACCTCAATCCTGTTAATGCAGTTAATGCTACTACAAGCATGGGTTGCTGAAGACCTATCCTAACCTGGATCTTCACTAATTTGTTTTATGTTATGTGTATGTGGTAATACATGTGTTTCAGGCTGTGTGTATGTGGTAATACATTTGTTTTAGGCTGTGTGTATGTGGTAATACATGTGTTTCAGGCTGTGTGTATGTGGTAATACATGCGTTTCAGGCTGTGTGTATGTGGTAATACATGTGTTTCAGGCTGTGTGTATGTGGTAATACATGTGAGTCAGGCTGTGTGTATGTGGTAATACATGTGTTTCAGGCTGTGTGTATGTGGTAATACATGTGTTTCAGGCTGTGTGTATGTGGTAATACATGTGTTTCAGGCTGTGTGTATGTGGTAAAACATGTGTTTCAGGCTGTGTGAATATGTGGTAATACATGTGTTTCAGGCTGTGTGTATATGGTAATACATTTGTTTCAGGCTGTGTGTATGTGGTAATACATGTGTTTCAGGCTATGTGTATATGGTAATACATATGTTTCAGGCTGTGTGTATGTGGTAATGCATGTGTTTCAGGCTGTGTGTATGTGGTAATACATTTGTTCCAGGCTGTGTGTATGTGGTAATGCATTTGTTTCAGTCTGTGTGTATATGGTAATACATGTGTTTCAGGCTGTGTGTATGTGGTAAAACATGTGTTTCAGGCTGTGTGTATGTGGTAATGCATGTGTTTCAGGCTGTGTGTATGTGGTAATACATTTGTTCCAGGCTGTGTGTATGTGGTAATGCATTTGTTTCAGTCTGTGTGTATATGGTAATACATGTGTTTCAGGCTGTGTGTATATGGTAATACATGTGTTTCAGGCTGTGTGTATGTGGTAATGCATGTGTTTCAGGCTGTGTGTATGTGGTAATACATTTGTTCCAGGCTGTGTGTATGTGGTAATGCATTTGTTTCAGTCTGTGTGTATATGGTAATACATGTGTTTCAGGCTGTGCGTATGTGGTAAAACATGTGTTTCAGGTTGTGTGTATATGGTAATACATGTGTTTCAGGCTGTGTGTATGTGGTAATACATGTGTTTCAGGCTGTGTGTATGTGATAATACATGTGTTTCAGGCTGTGTGTATGTGATAATACATGTGTTTCAGGCTGTGTGTATGTGGTAATACATGTGTTTCAGGCTGTGTGTATGTGGTAATACATGTGTTTCAGGTTGTGTGTATATGGTAATACATGTGTTTCAGGCTATGTGTATGTGGTAATACATGTGTTTCAGGCTGTGTGTATGTGATAATACATGTGTTTCAGGCTGTGTGTATGTGATAATACATGTGTTTCAGGCTGTGTGTATGTGGTAATACATGTGTTTCAGGCTGTGTGTATGTGGTAATACATGTGTTTCAGGCTGTGTGTATGTGGTAATACATGTGTTTCAGGCTATGTGCATGTGGTAATACATGTGTTTCAGGCTGTGTGTATATGGTAATACATGTGTTTCAGGCTATGTGCATGTGGTAATACATGTGTTTCAGGCTGTGTGTATGTGGTAATACATGTGTTTCAGGCTATGTGCATGTGGTAATACATGTGTTTCAGGCTTTGTGTATGTGGTAATACATGTGTTTCAGGCTTTGTGTATGTGGTAATACATGTGTTTCAGGCTTTGTGTATGTGGTAATACATGTGTTTCAGGCTGTGTGCATGTGGTAATACATGTGTTTCAGGCTTTGTGTATGTGGTAATACATGTGTTTCAGGCTTTGTGTATGTGGTAATACATGTGTTTCAGGCTGTGTGTATGTGGTAATGCATTTGTTTCAGTCTGTGTGTATGTGGTAATACATGTGTTTCAGGCTGTGTGTATGTGGTAATACATGTGTTTCAGGCTATGTGCATGTGGTAATACATGTGTTTCAGGCTTTGTGTATGTGGTAATACATGTGTTTCAGGCTTTGTGTATGTGGTAATACATGTGTTTCAGGCTGTGTGTATGTGGTAATGCATTTGTTTCAGTCTGTGTGTATGTGGTAATACATGTGTTTCAGGCTGTGTGTATGTGGTAATACATGTGTTTCAGGCTGTGTGTATGTGATAATACATGTGTTTCAGGCTGTGTGTATGTGATAATACATGTGTTTCAGGCTGTGTGTATGTGATAAAACATGTGTTTCAGGCTGTGTGTATGTGATAAAACATGTGTTTCAGGCTGTGTGTATGTGATAATACATGTGTTTCAGGCTGTGTGTATGTGGTAATACATGTGTTTCAGGCTGTGTGTACCTACAACACAGACGTTGTGCAGTACCTCCTTGACAACGGCGCCAACACAGATATACAGGATATATTTGGTAACACACCCATGTCACATGCAGAGAAGCTGTGCTACCATGACATCTTGAAGATGATGGGCCAAGAGTCTGCTGTCAATCATATTGAGTGACATTCTAACAGCCAATCAGATCACATACAATTGTAAGCCATGTACAATTGTGTCACTTGGGCATTATTGTGATGAGGGTCACGTGAGAGTGAGATTAATCCTAACATAGTAACCAGGAAGTGTTCATCCTGAAGTTGTTCTCAGTGTTCTGTGAACATTACTGGCTGGTAACAGTTCCTTTCATTCTGAGTGCATGAGAAGTTACATTGAATGTTTACTTGAGCACTGTGAATTCTACAATTGTGAATTTATGTAGAATTGATGACATCCTCCGCTCTGTCTGGTTCAGAATATTCACGGAAGATAGAATATAATGAACACACATGCCACGGAGGAGAAATAGGGTATATTCAGTGAATGGTCACATTTCCCTTCCAAATACCATGTCTACTTCTTAATTAGACAGAAAAGTCCATAATTGTACAAAATGTTTTGTGGCCAGTCACTTACAATATGTCGAGCTTGAGATCTGATATGTTGGTGAAAAATGTTGAGATTATGGGGTTAGTGTTTAAATTGAAGCTATAGTGAACATGTTTAAACTGAGATGTTGGTGAAAAATGTTTATGCTCAGATGATGGTATGATGATGATGATGATGATGATGATGATGATGATGATCTGTTTCAGTTTCTCTCAGTGATTTGTTGAACACTACCCAATGTTTATTAATATGGTTGTAGACACAAGTCATCTACAAGACAACATACACTAGTTTGTGAAGAAACTGCGCTTCCCTGTTGGAAATGCTTTCTGTAGCTTCACAGTTTTCGACAGCCACAGAGCACTTTACAAAGAATGTTTTAAATCATTGTAGATCTCATGACAAGGAAAATTACCAAGTTATCTCATTACCTCACAAATTATTGATCTCAAATTTGTTAAAATTAGAAATGTCTACTGTCTGGAATGATCCCATCGACATGGGGAGGAATGGTTTCTGGTTGTGTTGGCAAGTGACCAAATAGTTTCTATGAGGTTATTTATGCAGTAATGGGTAGTTTTTATGTTTGTTTGTTGTTTAATGCCTCACTCAGCAATATTCCAGCTATATGACGGCTGCCTGTAACTACCTGAGTCTGGACCAGACAATCCAGTGATTGATATCATGAGCATCGCTCTACACTACTATTGAGATGCGATGACATGCATCAACCAAGTCAGCGAGCTAGAACACCCATTCCTGTTACACCTCTTACATGGCAAGCATGGTTTGCTGAAGATCGATTCTAAACCTGATCTTCACGGTGGGACAAGCATCGGTTTCTGAAGACCAATTCTAACCTGAATCTTCACAGGGAACAAGCATGGGTTTCTGAAGACCAATTCTAACCCTGATCTTCACGGGGAACAAGCATGGGTTTCTGAAGACCAATTCTAACCCTGATCTTCATTGGGTTATATTTGTACTGCCATGTCAAGCTGAAGAAAGTAGACCTGATACTAACGGAAACCATATTTCCTGCAATAGATGACCAGATAGTGTATTTACTCAGACAATATGAGTCAGCATTTTATGTTTCATAAATCTCATTAAAATCAAAACTTTTGTCTGGATTAAGATCAGAGGATACTTCCCTAACAGGTCAGGTGAACCCTGTGCGAACTTTGACTCCCCAATCTTTAAAAAAGCTGTGTTATGTGGGTTATCAAGCAAATCACCTGTCAGGTTTCTAAAATGATCTTTTATACTGATACGATACCAATGTCATTAAAATTAAATCTTTTATACTGATACGATACCAATGTCATTAAAATCAGATCTTTTAAACTGATGCGATACCAATGTAATTAAAATCAGATCTTTTAAACTGATGCGATACCAATGTAATTAAAATCAGATCTTTTAAACTGATGCGATACCAATGTCATTAAAATCAGATCTTTTAGACTGATACGATACCAATGTCATTAAAATCAGATCATTTAGACTGATACAATAGCAATGTCATTAAAATCAGATCTTTTATACTGATACGATACCAATGTCATTAACATCAGATCTTTTATACTGATACGATACCAATGTCATTAACATCAGATCTTTTAGACTGATATGATACCAATGTCATTAACATCAGATCTTTTATACTGATACGATACCAATGTCATTAACATCAGATCTTTTAGACTGATTTCCCAGTTTTCCTGCCAAGGGTACTCAGTTTGGAACCACCTCATCCTCAAGTCCCTCTGTGCCCTTGGCAGGAAAACTGGCGAAAAGTAATCATTTTTTCAAAATTGGGATTTTGTTTAAGTTATTATTTTCTAAAACTAGGAGGTATTTTAATTTGCCTTCACGGTAATAGTGTAAAACTGAGCACTTAAGCCTTTTGGGTCCTCTTTATGGGTCCTCTTTATCCGTCCTGTTATCTGTGAGTCACCTCTACAAGGCCAATCACTGGTTATCATTGGTTATAACTATAGCTACATAAATCGGGAAATTTGGAATTCCTATTTGGGAATTTGTACTGACATTGGCTGTAGAATTGGAGGCCTCCATTCTCAAATTTGATTTGGACTCCACGTATCTCCATCATCTTCTGACAGTCCATCTTCCATTGGGGGAGACATAATTATGGTAGTCACAAACATAATCGGTGGGGTAAGATATTGTCAGACTTGTATAAATATAAAACGTCAATGCCAGAGAATATCCTGTCTTAATTATCCACGAAACAGATTCCATTGGGGGTAAAAAGCAAAATAGCAGTGAAATTATGTAAATCGATCACCAAAAACCAGTGAAGACACTAGGTCTTTGTGAAAAAGCTCAGGATGTCCATAGGGAAATACTCTTGAAACATTAAACCAGTGAGTTATATTGTAACTAGTGGTGTAACGATACGGCGATACAGTATTGTATCCCGATGCACAGCCCACGATACGATGCATCGATTTGGAAAGCATGTATCGCGATACATACGATATTTTCATAACACAGTTTTACTTACTTTTAAACATGAAATACGTTTAACAGTTTCAAAGCCAGTTTGTTGTTTCAGTAAAACATACTGTATTGCTGACAATTTGCTATAACAGTAAATAAACACCTTATATCTTCTTCAACAGTACTTGTCACATCTTTTAGAGAGCAGAAAGACATCAACTTGGTTTAGCTTGTACCAGTAAACACTGTATCGTGATACGTATCGTATCGCGACCCCTGTATCGGGATACGTATCGTATCGCGACCCTCCCGTATCGTTACACCTCTAATTGTAACCAGTTGAGGTTTATTTCATGAGGTTTTACTGGAATGTAATAATGCATTTATTAAGCACCTGACTTCCAACTTGGGTGGGTGCTCAGAGTTGCAACATGGTATTACTGTGTATTGTATGCCAGTAATAATCAGGGAATAAAACCTATCAAAATCAGAGTTTATACAGTGTATTGTCAGTTATACCGGTATTATGGCTAACTATGTATGTTTGTAAATGTTGAGGTCTTTTTTATTAAGTCTTGGTTTACAGATTACTTTGTGTTATAAAAACAAAAACATTTAAAATTTGTTGTTTAAAAAGTTATCTGTACATGATGCAGTATGTGCAGTGTGTGCAGTGTGTGCAGTGTGTGCAGTGTTCATGAAGTTTGCATCATACCGTGTAAAGTTTGCACAGCTGTTTCAGTAAGCACTTTGCTGTCAACTATATCTTCTCTTTTTTATTTTTCCACTCAAACTATTTCAGCAGATCTGTAAACCAATTCGAATAAAAAGTATTTCCTAAACCTGATGTATATCCGAGTGAATGTGCATTTAACACAAGTATTTAATATTACTTATGTTCTTGTTCCAAGAGCTAATTTGGTACTGTTACTCTTCGTGTCGAGATCAAGTTTGTTGTGTTTACAAATGATTCCCATCACATGTAAGGGTAACAATGATGTTGAGATTACTGCTCTTGGAGATATTTATTTGTTATTTGTGGAATTGTTTTACAACAATGTTTTCATCAAGTGCTATTTTATGTTGTTGTTGATGTTGTTTTTATTGAAGAGCGTATTTTACCAAAGTCTTATGTATTTTTTGTGCTTAACTTCAAGTAGCTTGCCAAAGGTTATGAAAACGGGTTTATCATGTGTCAGCCTTCCAGTGGTTTATTTTTGTGAAATAATTAAAAAACGTAAATTTCTATATTTCATATCATGGCTCTTGGATAACTGTACTTAAAATATGCATATCAGTATAGCTGTTTGGATTAAACATTGTTCTCATTTGTAAGACAATATTCTTGGCACATTTCCATAACAGATGATGCCAGAAATATGTTTGCTCTATTCGTTTTAAACTTATGTTTTAGACTGGTATGTTTTTATTCCGGTATTTAGCATGCTTGTTTTCTTCATACAGTACAGCTATATTTTTGTTATTTGAAGCTTGTTATTTGTTTTCGTAGCTTTGTAGTTGTGTTTACATAACCCCAACACCACGAAGACTGAGTTCGAATGGTCCTGAAAGTTGTTTGTACAGAGTTGCGGCCCTTGATCCATGTCAATTTAATTGGTGCATAGTGCTTGCAGTGGGGACAAGACTTCTCAGAAACTACTGAAGTAAGCTTATCTAAGAGATACTTATCAAGGCTCAGTTATTTTTTCCAGTGAAGGGGCCTTTTGTGTGTATTAACTTCACATTTAATCATTTTTTTTTATGACACAAAGCGGCCCAATTGCCTATCTCTTCTTAAGGCTTTATGCTTTTTTATAGTTTATATTCACTGCTATATGAACAAACAAAATTCTAATGTGCCCAATGGCGGGGTTAGTGATAACGCTGTTTTATGTTGATATTATTTCATAACTGGAATAATTCCTACTTTGTTGATATATATATATATCCTGCATGAGGTATTGAGGTACCAGTGGACTCACGGGTAGGCAACAATATATTGCCAGTTATAAACAGAACTTGTACTCAAACACCACTGGAAAATAGTCATGTTTAATTCCTGAAACATTAAAAAGTTATTGCATTATCTTTTGTGTTGTTTCTTTATTTAGATCTTATATTCCGATTATGTTCTTAAAACGAAACTGTGAAAGTATTTGATTTATAATTGCGTTGATATGGACCACAAATGGATTTCATGATCGATCAGTCTTCTGTGTACACAACAAACCACTCAAGGTTAGCTTGATGCTGAAACTATGATTTATGCGTTTATATGTAATATTGTAAGTGTAATGGTCACAAAAGTGACCCTTGATGTAACGAAATGGGCGTATGATTCTCATTCCTCATATGAGGTGAAAAGAGAGTCACACTAAACTTTTTCTGCCTATTTCCAATATCCCGTATCTTCCGTGGATCTGTGAATTTTAGTGACCACAAATTTGTTAAATTCTGATGAAGCCCCCATAAATGCCCCAAATGATGGACCATTGAAAAAAAGTTTCAGCTGAAAAGGAAAATATCCATTCTCATCCCTGAATATCTGTGCATGTCTAAAGTGAAATGACACAAGCAGAGAACAATAATTAGCTTGCAGAAATTGACTTTGTTGCAATTTTAGTTTAAGACAATTTAAAATCTTTAGAAATCCTATTGGACCCGTCTCCAGCCCAATAAGACACAAAAAGAACATGATCTAAGGTACTTGTGGTCTAGATATTATAGATGATGCTGTATGTAATGCCAATAACCTGACGCATGTCCCCAAATGATCTCCTATAGTCACTGGGGGCACGGGTGGCCAAGTCAGGCGTCGCAATTCCCTATGCAGAGAAACATTGTTCTGGGCTCCATTTTAATTCCACATTATTTTGTGGATATATTTTCTGGGACAAAATGTTAGTCAAGGTCACTTCATGAGATGTTATTTGTCAAGAAATGCCAAATATCCTCTATCTTGCTATATTGATGGTGCTAGCAGAGGACATGACTGGTCAATTAGCATCAATTCCACTTTTCTATGCCCAGGTCAGATGAGACAATATTGAGTTCAGCAACAGTAAATCCTGACTATATAAAAGAGGCAACATATCTTGTTCAATTCTTTTATTGTAAAAACAAGCCCTGCTAACTGCTAAGTAAGTACATTGCGTCAACATGCAAAACAGATGACTAGGAAAGTTCCTGGTAAAATCAACATGAGGTAATATCAGCTTTCCAATGGGATCAGTGTCCTTGAGGGTTTGGCTGCACGTTGCCTTTGGACTGATTTGTAGCAAACAATATACCTGGTACTCGTTTTTCCAGTAACCAACCTATCAATTCACATATTATGGCCATGACATTGTTAACACATCTATCAGCAAGGCAAACTTTCATAAATATAACGTATCAGTTCTTAAGGATGCTAGTATGTACTTTTTTCGTGGAAAGGCACAGGTAACAGTTTTCATCAACAATCAGTATGATGAGTATAGTGTTTATATCATGGCTGTATTGGAATGGTATATTATGGCAGATATATGCCTTAGTGTGATACACAATTGTATCAGTCACTGGGAATGCTTCCTAAACTAGTGGGTATTCTACTACTGATTCCAATGCGGTAGGCTTGTAGAAAATAAGCAACAAGTGTCTGGTGTTGCTGGCAAAGGTTATTGCAAACGTCTACACTGGTAGATAGGACAACACTGTAGATGCTGTTGGCTGTTAGGGCAACCCTAGATGATGTTGTCGGTTGTCACCTGTTGCTAGGACAACATCCACTCTCTGTCCAGGGGAATGGGGGCTCGACTAGCACTGAAACAAATAAAAGAAGATGTATAAAAGCAGGTTTGAGAAATGAGTGAGTGAGTATGGTTTTATGTCACTTTCAGCAATATTCCAGCAATATCACGAAATGGGCTTCACAAATTGTACCAATGTCACGAATGTCGAACCCGGGTCTGCGGCGTGACGAGCGAACATTTCAACCACTAGGCTACCCAACCATCCCTTGAGAAATGAAGGAGCCACTCTTCTATTGCATCATAATGATGTTTCCAGGACAAATGACAGTCAAATAATTACTGTGACAGCTAATAAAAGCTCCTGGAAGACCTTGTTGATTACATGCTTGATAAAGATCCTAACACCAGTATTATCTGTTCATTGACATTACACCTTCTGAAATGCTGCTTAAATAAACATTCCTGGTATTGTCTGTGCTGTATTTTGCCAGAAGGGCCAGCCTGTGGGGCTTACCTTGTTTTCCTGAGTCGTACACCTCCAGCAGTCCTCGTAGCCGAGATGTAGCACAGGCCGGCAAACTCAATCAGCTGAAATTGAAGACCACATGTTAGAATGCCCACTTGTGACTAGTTGACCAAGTAGATCAGATGGTACAGGTAGAGTTGTCTATAAGATGTCACAATTTGCCTTGCAGAGTTACGTCCCTTAGGCATGCCCAAAAGCAATAAAGATAGTTGCTTCTGAATCCCCGTTTTTATGTCTGTCACTACCATACTTTGTTTTGGGGTGTCACAGTCAAAGTGGTAAACACCTAAGAGCTGCATCCCTAATGTATGGAGCCTGATTTCTTGTAGTTTTGATGCTAGCACTACAGTTGCTGAATAGGCCCCTATATTGCACCCTCTTGGACCCACCTGGTTTTGCTTGGCAGGGGGCAGGATCTTTGTCGTTGCCTGCTTCCTCCCCGTCATGAAGGCTGTGAGCATTTCCTCCAGCTGCAGCACCGACTCCTCCTCTAGACTGGCACTCTGTAAACAGGGAATCACAAAACAAGGTCACAAAACACACACTTGACAATAGTCCTCCCATCTTCCCGGGGCAAGAGATTTAACTGACTTTAAAAGTCCAGTTGCCACCCTTGCCGAACTAGGCTGGAATTCCTGGGCTCAATTGTAGTGCCACCAGTGGTTATTATGAGTTATGTCCCTTCTAAGTCTCTCCTATGGACCAATCAGATTCCATCACTTGGATTTGTTTCAAACAAAATGGCGGTGCCCAGTCAAGATGATCTGATCAATAATCGAGATCTATATTGTATTAAAACGGGTCTTACATTGCGAAGTGCATCAAATCATGCGAGCACCTTCATTAAAAACATGAACAGGTTTGGGAAATATCTGTTGACGAGTTGGCGATGCACAGGCTTTACAAATCCTGCAATCGACCGAAATCTGCACAACAGTTTATGAATCAGATTTCGATTTCGTTGCATGATTTTGATTGGACTATGCATAGACTTGTTAGTCCAGCCAAAATGTTACTCCATAATAGATCGGCAAGAGTGGAAACAATCAGTTAACTCTCTTGCCTCGGGAAGATTTTGTCCTCCAGACTGGAACTGTTAACAGGGGAATCACAAGCCAATTAAGGCACATACTTGACAAGTCCTACAGACTACGTAGATGTGAGCATCTGAAATATCACCACTTCTGAAGCATAACATAAATCCTGCTATTCCTTAAAACAGATAACTGAATTACGTGCTCTTGAATGAAGTATCTGAAAACTCCCAAGAAAGTCGACAATAGTTTGGCAAGTCTAGATTTCTTGAGTTCCATGTTGAACATTATCATCCAGGCTTATTTAAATCATAAATAAAAAAAAAATTAAAAGAACATTTTAGAGATGTTACTTTTAGCCTATGAATTATATTGCATGGTCTCACACACCTGTATTGGCAGTCGTGCTCTTGATGTCCGTGACGTCTCCTCGATGCATGATTTCCTCTCCTGGTACTTTCTGTGGGGAGTGACCTGCTTCCCACAGACTCCACTTTTCTTCTTTGGAGTGTTCGGCTTCTCATGAACACCAGATTTCTTTTTGGGGGTGTTCGGCTTCCCAGGAACACCAGATTTCTTTTTGGGGGTGTTTGGCTTCCCATGAATGCCAGATTTCTTTTTGGGGGAAGTCGACTTCCCATGGGGAGTGCATGGCTTCCCTTGGGATGCAGAGGTCTTGTGTGGAGTATGGTCTCTTGCCAACTCACTGAAATTTGGGTTGAAGCGTTTCTTCAGAGGAACAGTTCTGTTTTCATTGTAGAAAAGCTTTCTTTTTGCACTCTCAAAAGTTGGTGATGCATCGGGCACTGAATTGTCTGACAGAGGCAGTGGCAATGTTGATGGAAAGGCAACAGACTTGGTATTTCCTTCGTGGATGTCATTGTCTGTTACAGTCTCCTTGTTCTGTGAATCAGGCATGGTTGTCCGGAGGTCCCAAAACCCACTGCCAAAACTGTTCTCTCCTTCCTCGGATTCATTCATCATCAAAATATTAGCATTTCTTGTTCTTTCTCGTATGGTCTCTGGGTCCCTACATGACCCTGGACGTGCAACCACAGATGCCAATATCACAGAACACAATGCTGGTGAAGACTGAGACAGGGGGGAGGCTCCAAAGGGTTGCAACAGTGACTTGGATTTACTAGCCAGCCTCCATGGCAGTTGGGAAGACATGTTCCTCGTCTTGGGTGAGTCTTCAGTTGCCTTGCTTCGATGTCTGGTTGATTCATGCTCGTGTGGTACAGTTGTCTCATCCGACTCCATCACATCCTGCATCAATGGTTTCCTCCATGAATCCTTATTCAATGTTCTCATGTCTGGTGTCATCTGGAAGGGTTTTACTTTCAACATCTTCTGCTTTGGTGTGTGGGCCTTCATGAAGGATGCCTTCCATGTTTGGAATGTGTGTGATTGACTTGCTGAGGCTGCAAGTGGACTTGGGGGATGCCTTGATTTTGGGACTGTGGTGCCTGCTTTCCTTACAGATGTTGCTTGTGAAGCATCTGTCACTGGTGCTTTGTTTGGAGTGAAGCTATTTGAACAGAGGAATGGTTTGCAGGTCAGGATAGAAGATGGTGGAGTTGATGGATGTGTGGTCACCTCATCTGTTGCCTGCCTTGGCGGAAGAGTCACCCGCTCGTTCATGGGTATCTGCTTATCATTCCTGTCTGTTAGGGCGTCTGTCTCATTCTCATGGGAAGGTTGAAACTTCAAGCCTTTTCGTCTCTGAGCATGATAGGGACATGTGTTCTTGCATGGTGAGGACATCTGATTCAGACCGGCGATCTTCTGTCCAGCAAGCTTGAAGAATGGCAGGATCCCAGTTGTCGGTGTCAAGGGCCCTTCCTTCATGCAGGATGGAGTTGTAGCGGATACTGTGGGGTGATCATTGGATGCCGGTGTCATTGGGGCTGTATTTACAAGTGTGGCCAGGTCTCCTCTTGATGATAACGGGGGTGAGCTGACTGATGGCTCCAGGTCAAAAACCAGTACTTGAGATGGTGGTGACGTGTCTGTGACAGGATCTGGTGATAGTAGTGATGAGTACATGACAGGATCTGGTGATGGTAGTGACGTGTCTGTGACAGGATCTGGTGATGGTAGTGATGAGTCCGTGGCAGGATCTGGTGATGGCAGTGATGTGTCTGTGGCAGATTCTGGTGATGGTAGTGACGTGTCTGTGACAGGATCTGGTGATGGTAGTGATGTGTCTGTGGCAGATTCTGGTGATGGTAGTGATGAGTCTGTGAAAGGAGCTGGTGATGGAAGTGATGTGTCTGTGACAGGATCTGGTGATGGAAGTGATGTGTCTGTGGCAGGATCTGGTGATGGAAGTGATGTGTCTGTGGCAGGGTCAGGTGATGGTAGTGATGTGTCTGTTGATGGTGACGACAAGACAGAGACAGCGTCTGAGATAGTGGAAGAAACATGCAAATTAGATTAGGGTAACAAATACCCTCTTGAATATTAAACCTCATTTAAAATTTCATGTTGTTTCTGTCAGGTATCTTAAACGTTGTTATTCAGGGAAAAATAATAAGGCAACGGTAATTGAAAAATTCATTTCAATTTTTAGTTTACAGTGGTAAGACTCATACTTTTTTCTTGATAATCATATATTCATAAGTACCATATGTAGTAACAGCATATATATATGACAGGAAAAGAAAGGAAAATTGATCACTGATGATTTGATTATAACCTAACCCTGACCCATCTTCCTGAGGCAGGGGAGTTTACTGAGTTTCCACCCTTGCCGACTTAGGCTGGAATTTCGTACCTCAGTTGTAGCACTAATAGTGGCTATTAAAAGTTATGTCCCTTCTGCGTCCCTCCTATTGACCACTCAGATTGTATTACTTGCATTTGCTTAAAACAAAATGTTGCACCCAGTCAAAATGATCTGATCTTTAAACAAATTCTGGATTATAACACCAACAAAGGGGATCTAACCCTGCATGCCTACTTCTTAGGACATAGATTAGAAAAAGATAAGGAAAATATCTGTCGACACCTAGTTGACGGAACACATGTTTTGAAAAATCCGGCAATCGACCGAAATCATGGCATGGCACTTTAAAAATCAGATGTTGACTTAGTTAAGCGGTTTGGAATGGACTATGCATGGACTTGTTACTCCAGCCAAAACATAACTCCGAAATTCCAGCCTAGATCAGCAAGGGTGAAAAATGGACTTCTATAGTCAGTTACCTCCCTTGCCTCTGGCAGATGATCTCAGCCATCAGAATACCATTTGTCCATGAACAATCTACACAATGATGAATCAAGTTACCAACAACATGATGTGTACCTTCAATGCTGGACTCCGTAATCCCTTGAACTGTCCGCACCAGGTCCAGCATCTGTCGTGTGATTACCTCTCTCTGCATCATCTCGCATACGCTCAGAACAGTGTGGATGTTGTCCAGGCTGTTCTCTAGAGCCTCAAACTGAAGCACCGTCTCTCTGTCCGGTCCTGAGAACAACAACAATTAGTTTTTACCATACAGAAAATAGTGTGGGAAAGGTGTGGCAATAATGTCGCGGTAGTCACATGCCTGTCGGATACTTCATTTCTCAATTGTTGTTTGTTTATTTGTTTTTTTAACGCTGCACTCAGCAATATTCCAGCTGTATGACGGTGGTCTGTAAATAATCGAGTCTGGACCAGACATTCCAGTGATTGACATCATGAGCATCGATCCACGCAATTGAGATATGATGACATGCATCAACCAAGGTCTCTATTGTCATGGAAGTCAAGGTCAACATTGTTTATTTGTTGAACCATTTCCATGTTCTCTATTGTCACGGAATAAACAATGTTGACCTTGACTTCTATAAGTGGCAATTAGAAGCTGGTATGATGAACAAGGGATATATAGTTCTAAGAATATACAACTTCTTTACAACACTGACTGTGAAGTTTCGCTGTAGATGCTAGCATCGTTGTCTCCAAGTGATGAACAGAAATGTGAAGGTTAAAACATGGAGATAATTGATGTTCATCCAAGATTATAAAAGTAAAACAGAAAAGGGAAAAGCATAAAGCCTTATTGATGTACACAAAGAGGATTAACAAGGCATGGTGGATAAAACAAAATACAGTGAATGATATGCAAATGAGATTAGGATTGTTTAGTGATGCGCTCATGGAAGGCCGTTGGAATGTAAATTGTAATAAAGAAGTTCTTTATCCATAGAACTATATCCCTTGTTCAATGTTGACCTGGGTTGATAGTGACAAACTTCACCAATTATTTTCCAGTCTTGAAACCATAACCTGGTTAAAAAGAATATGAAATAATCTTGCTTTGATTTAAGAGAATAAATGTAACAAGGGAGTTAACCCATGATGTCTTTCACAAGAATTATAATTGATCATTATTCAATATTCAATTGACTACCTGGCAATAAACGCTAGAAAACGCACACAATATTTGTCAGTGTATTCAAAAGTCAAAACTGTGTTATACGAAAATTTCTTTTCTCACTTGACCACCATAAACTGCGCTTAACTGGTCATGGAAAGATAAGGGGGTTGTGCGATCCGAGCCGTGGGGGTGTTGGTGGGGGTAGGGGGTGACAACAGACAACGTGCACCCTGCCTTACTGCTCACGGCATGGCTGTTCACAGTTCTCAAGAAAAAAGTCATCGACTCTGAAGACAGGACGTTTCAAGTATAGAACTTGATAAAGCCTAACAACAAAAATGTCACAATTTGTATAAATGTATGCAGGTATAGTTTAAACAACCGCATGTGCGTATTGAAGGTACCTATAACTTATCGTCTGTGAACAGAGTGGAGTTAATTATGGCGCCAGTCACTTTCAGTCGAATTGGCAATGCGAATTTAGAATATTACTTGTAAACATAGATACACTCACGTGGATTCATGCTCAGTTCAAATCCGTTCTCTTCTTCTTCTTCTCTTTATGGCAGTTGTTGCCACTTTTACGCAAGTTCCCCGTCTTGTACACACCACAGGTTCCCGCAAGTAGCTGGAACCGACCACGTGATCGGATGTTGACACTTGTCTGGTAGCCAATCATTGATTAGAACTGAAGGGGCGGGGTTTACACATTCCCATTGCGTCGAAGAACGGTCTGTTTGACGGCTCCTACAATTCCCAATGACATACCAAATGACTTAAATTAACCGGTTTTGAATTTTAAAGCTTTATTACCATGTGGGGAATAAAGGCTGATGTCATATTTTTCATGTTTTCGTAATCTAAATCTGGCAAATAGTTCACAATGAATCAGTCCATAGCTCAATGTGTAACCCAAGTGAACTTGACACTGAAAATCACATTGTCGTATGCAGACTAACAAAAACTTCAGAACTATATTTATTAAAAAGATAAAAAAAAATCTCAATTAGTTTTCCACACAGTTTTCTATCAGGAACTGAAATAACCACAACACACACACGTGATTTATTGTATACGAAGACGTATATGTATGTCTTTGTTCAATACTATTCAAGATTACTTACTCAGTATTCTTATGTATTTGAAATACCGTGCACCCCAGCGCTGCAATTCCATAAGGATCGCCCCCCTCCCCTCATCTCCCCCACCCCTCCTCACAGACCTTGCCCCACCCCCATTGCGTATGCCGTGCGATGCCACGAGAGGTTAACCTGAGACGGGCAGGGGTAAGGGTGGAGTAAGGCAATCAACGCTGGCATTGTGATGTGTTTATTCTCCAACTAACAATCTGTCAACACACAGTCAACTTAAAGAGAGCCGACGTTGACTTGCCGCCTCCAATACCCAAGCCGCCTGCAATCCCATCTCTGCACCACAGGTGCCCAACGCTTCTCTCAGATTGGTCTGCTCTTGCCGCATGACAGTGATGAGCAGAGGCCATTGAATTGTTACGTAAGGCTAAAGATCTTCACAATCACCGGGTGTGACCAAGTAGACAGAATCTCGTAAGGGTTTGTGATTTTTACATTTGCCAAATGACCATGGTGAGTCTTGCTGGGGAAACCAAAGGTGATTAGAGGAAATTGTTTTTTTCCTGCCCGTCGGTCACATGTATAGCCAATTTTCTTTTCAAATTTCCCGCGTCACAGGAAGCATTCTGTGTTATACCAAAATAAAATGCCTGACAGCTGACACTCCGCCAATTGCTGTATAATGATGGGGGAAAACCTAAGTTTAGTGATCACCCTTGTTTTCAATAAAGAATAAATAAAGTCCTACCCCCCCCCCCCCCCCCCACCCTCTTCATTACCTTACCATCATAAAACCAAAAAAATTGACAGAGGAATAACTAAACTACAAACAGGCCACACTAAGTTAAACTCCCACCTGTACCAAATTAAAAAAACACCAAACCGGTAAATGCCCCCACTGCAACTTAAAAGAAACGCCCGAACACGTAATGCTATATTGCACACATTACCAGCAACACAGAACAACACTCCAATCCACACTAAATTGCAACAATCAAATGACACTAGCAACTGTACTGAACCCCTTAAATGACTTAAAAACCTTTAAAGCACTAGGCAAATATCTAAACAAAACAGGCCTACTTGGCCGCATCTAAAAATAAAAGTACAACAAACAAGCTGCCAATAAACCCTAAAATTCTAAAACCCTAAAACACACAAACTCCTTTTAGTCTCTCTCTCTCTCTCTCTCTCTCTCTCTCTCTCTCTCTCTCTCTCTCTCTCTCTCTCTCTCCCCCCACCTTTTATTGCATATTTCAAAAATTCCAAAATTGTTCTCCAAATTAAGTAAGCCACCCTAAAGAGCCCCACCTAGGTTGCCTTACCTTTTCGACAAACACCAAATGGCCTGGCGGGCCCGTGCGCGAAATACACATGTCGGAAAGCGCACGTTAAATTCCCAATTTAAGTAAGTACTCCTCATTTTTGAGGAAAATGTGCCAGAGAAACGTTTAATTTCCTTGCAGCCTAAACAGAACATGCACAAACTGGGCAATTAATCATAATCGTTACATTGTCTCTCAGCCATTGGTACCCCCCCCCCCCCCTCCCCCCCCCCCCCCCCCCGACACACACAAACAATTTAATTAATACATCTAATCGCATTCACCAGAACATTGCTATACATTGGAAGCAGTTATGTTATATCTTCTAAACAATATCTGATTTTCGTGTAACCAAATGACGCTTAAAAAAGCCTACCGTCCCAAATTTGTACAGGTAGGAAAAAAACAATTTGTACTTTTGCTATACGTGTGTATTCCGACTTGAGGTGAAATGTAACCTCACGTATTTTATATTTGGTCCTAAATACACTAAACATCTTGAAATGTCGTTGAAGTAAAACTATAATTGTTTAGTGTTTAGAAGTTAACGGTCCATACAGTCGAATTAGCTCATGCATAAATTGAGCTTTTAACATACGACGCACCTAAAATAAAGTCGATATCCATTCACTATGAATATATCTATCTGTTCAGTTGTAAGTTGCCAAAAGCTGATGTAAGATACCTAATGTCCTTTGTTTATAAGCTTCCCCACTGGTTATTTCTCTCCCTGTAAGAGGGTGTCGTTCAATAAGGACAATACGCCAGTTCGCCGCTACCAATATCAACGGACATTTTGTAAAAGAAGACAAGTTACTTTTTTTATTCGCCTTGTATGCATACACTAGAATACATAATAAAGAACATAAGTGTAAATAAGTACATGCGACTATTCCCAGACTTATGGGGACTCTAATATATAATAACTGCTAAAAACGAAATTATGTACATGTCGTATTCTTATCACTCTGTAGTGTAAAAGGTACACCAAAACGTATTAAAAAGAAGTCTTTGTCGTTATTCAAATATAAAGTGTACATTTTGTGTCTGCTAAAATGCCTTTGCATGGTTTGGCACGTACAAAATACGTAAGGGGATTGGCTAAAATGAGACACTATCCACCAGCAGTTGGCTCATTTCTGAACGCAATGGCGATGTCGCCAAGCAGGAATCTGTGACATCAACAATGGAGACGCGTCATTGTTTAGTGTGTCCTCATAAGTACTGACATCATAAACAGAATACGTCAACAATCAGTTGACGTCATAGAGAATCATATCTATGTGACTGACCCGAACAATAAGGAGCGACGCCAGCCACATGGATGCAGGTTCCACAAACGGCCTGGAACGTAATGGCGATGTCGCCAAGCATGATTCTGTGACGTCAACAATGGAGCCGCGTCATTGTTTAGTGTGTCCTCATAAGTACTGACATCATAAACAGAATACGTCAACAATCAGCTGACGTCATAGAGAATCAGTCTATCGTCAGTGTACGCGGCCGGCGGACGTGTTGCTTGCGGAGTGTACTACAAAATCAGGATTTTGGTGCTTCAGGAACGGAGTTTTGGTAGAGGTTAGTGAGCGCCTTTATTCTTGGATGTGAAATCATTAAATCTTATAACCAAAAAAGCCTAGGCTTTAAAC